GGCGGGGAGGGCGCATGCGGACCCTGCCGCTGGGGCCTTCGGTGGAGCTCCCTAAGAGACCACGAACAGTGTGAGAAGGGCACCGAAACTGTACAGATGTGTATGCGAATCTTGCCGCTGGGGCGTTGGGTGGAGCGCTTTGTGGGGCCACGAGCCGTGTGAGGGGTGCACCGAAATGATGGTGGAACTGCATGCGAACCTTGCCGCTGAGGCATTCGGTGGGGCTTCCTATGTGGCCACGGGCCGTGTGAGGGGGTCCGCCGAAATGAGGGTGGAGCTGCATGCGAACCCTGCCGTTGGGGTCTTCGGTGGAGCTCTCTATGGTGCCGCGAACCGCGTGAGAGCGGCACCGACATGGGGACGGAACTGCATGCGAACCTTGCCGCTGAGGCTTTTGGTGGAGCTCCCTACGGGGCCACGAACCGTGTAGGGGGTGCGCCGATGAAGGTGGAACTGCACGCGAAACCTGTCATTGGGGCCCGTGAGGGGTGCGCCGAAATGAGGGTGGAACTGCATGCGAACCCTGCCATTGCAGCATTCGGTGGAGCTCCCTATGGGGCCGCGAACCGTGTGAGGGGTGCGCCGAGATGAGGGTGGAGCTGCATGCGAACCCTGCCGCTGGGACCCTGCCACAGAGGCCGCACCAATAGGGTCAGGAGGCCGACGACGCGGAGGCGGAAGAGGAGGCAGGAGGGAAGTTGTACAGGATTCCCGTGAACCTCTGATCGGTTCGAGGCTGTCCTCCGAACCGTCGTTCATGTAGAAGAAGTCCTTCTTCAGCTCAGCCAGCTGCTTGTGCGGGGTGATGTTCTGGCGGACGGGGCGGTAGGGCTGGCTCATCAGCAGCTTCAGCTCATTTGGGATCTCGTACGAATTCCTGGGAGGGGGCATCTTCGTTGTCGTCCTGCTTCCTTATCCCTCCTCGCCTCCCTTCCTCATCCTGCTCCTCTATCGCCTTGCCTTCCTCCTCCCCCCCCGTCCTCCGCCATTCTCTCATGCTTCCTCGCCTGCCCTCATCACCCTGTTCCTCGCTCTCCCTCCCTCGTGCACCCGAGCGCCAGGGGGCGACGATGACGACGAGGATGAGGATGAGGATGCGGAGGACGAGAATAAAGAGGACTGAGATGAGGACGCTGAGGACGACGATGGCGAAGGCGAAGGTGACGAAGAGGATGGGGAAGGGGATGGGGAGGGGGAGGGGGAGGCTGATGGGGGAGGAGGAGGAGGAGGAGGAGGAGGAGGAGGAGGAGGAGGAGGAAGAGAAATAGGGATGATGAGCAGGGGGGGTCGGGGTCTCGTCGTCACCCGGGCTGTCCTCACCGTCCGCCGCCAGCCCGCGAAGAGATCTAGTGCCTTCTTCGCGTCCGCGCAAATCAAGTCGCCCTCAGATGGGTGGCTGTGCACCTCTAAAAGGATGAGGGGGGTCGGGAGCGAGGAGGGGGCTGAGGAGGACGAGGCGGCGCCTGGGCCACGGCGTGCTCCCAGTCGTTCAGGTCGAACACCAGGGTGGGGTTCACCTGCTCGGAGGAAGCGTCGTCTTTCTACTCGTCCTCTCTCCGCTCCTCCCCTCCCTCGTTTTCCTCCCTCTTCCCCTCCTTCGCCATCCCTCCTCCCTCTGTCCTCCTCCCTTCCCCCTCCCTCACCGTTTCCACATCCTCCCTCCTTCCCACCCCCTTGATCGTCCTCCTCTACCTCCCTCATCCTCCTCATTCCAACCCAGAGTGGCCTGAGAGGCCATGTGGACCACACGCCACCACTCGCTCTCCAGGAGGTACTGTCCGATGCCCTTGACCGCCTGTTTTTGGGAGATTTATTAAGCCGTGCTTGTTATGTTGCTGTGATGTTTAAGCTATGTTGCTTCTAACCATCATGTGCTGTTAGGTCCTCGTTTTCAAGAGGCAGCGCCCCGCGTTTCCTCAAACCAGGGCATCACACCACTAAGAAAACATGACCTATCAACACATAACGTAAGCATACCATCGTCACAACAGAACCCGCGCATAAAACGTAGCCTGGCGAACGACCCAACCATTTGCAGATGCGAGTACCGCGAGGGGGGTGAGACGAAGGAGGGGGTGGCGCGCAAACTCCGACGACAAAACGAGCCCCAACAATCATGCTCCCCCCCTCCCCCGCAAAGGCCCTTGACCTCCTCGCCACCCACCGTGGCCAAATGTGGTTACGACCCCCCTACCCTTCTTGAAGAACCCCGAACCCTTCCGCTGCTTTCGGTGGAACTCCCTACGAGGCCCCGAACCGTGTGAGGGATGCGCTGACATGACGGTGGAATTGCATGCGAACCCTGCCGCTGGGGCCTTCGGTGGAGCTCCCCATGGGCCACGAACCGTGCGAGGGATGCGCCGAAATGAGGGTGGAACTGCATGCGAACCTTGCCACTGAGGCATTCGGGAACCCTGCCGCTGGGGCCTTCGGTGGAGCTCCCTACACGAACAATGTGAGAAAAAACACCGAAATGGGGACAGGACTGCATGCGAACCCTGCCGCTGGGGCCTTCGGTGGAGCTCCAGATGGGGCCACGAACCGTGTGAAAAGGTGCGCCGAAATAAAGGTGGAACTGCATGCGAACACTACCACTGGAACCTTCGATGGAGCTCGCTAAGGGCCACGAACCGTGTGGGGGGTGCGCCAAAATGAATGTGGAGCTGCATGCGAATCTTGCCGCTGGGGCATTCGGTGGGGCCCCCTATGGGGCCGCGAACCGTGTGGGATCGGCACCGAAATGGGGACAGGACTGCATGCGAACCTTGCCGTTGAAGCGTTCGGTGGAGCTCCCTATGGGGCCACGAGCCGTGTGGTGGGGTGAGCCGAAATGAAGGCGGCACTGCGCGCGAACCCTGCCACTGGGGCCTTCGATGGAGCTCCCTTTGGGGCCACGAGCCGTGTGAAGTGTGCGCCGAAATGCGGGTGGAACTGCATGCGAACCTTGCCACTGAAGCATTCGGTGGAGCCCCCTATGGGGCCGCGAACCGTGTGAGGGGTGCGCCAAGATGGGGGTGGAACTGCATGCGAACCCTGCCGATGGGGCCTTCGGTGGAGCCCCCCATGAGGCCGCGAACTGTGTGAGGGGCGCGCCGAAATGAGCGTAGAACTGCGTGCGCACCCTGCCGCTGGGGCGTTCGGTGGAGCTTTCTATGGGGCCACGAACAGTGGGAGCGGTGCGCCGAAATGAGGGTGCAAGTGCGCGCGAGCCTTGCCACTGGGGCCTTCGGCGGAGCTCCCTGTGGTGCCACGAACCGTGTAAGTACGTGAAGTGATGGGCGGGGAGCGATGACGATGATGGTGATGATGACGGACGTAATAGTGATGACGATGGCGAATGCGATGGCAGTGGCGAGTTTGATAATGATGATGGTTGTGATGACGAGGCTGCTGCTGATGATGATGATGATGACGACGAGGTGATGATGATGCTGATGACGATGCTGCTGATGATGATGCTAATGATGCGATGGTGGTGAGATGGTGGTGATGCTGGTGATGATGACGATGAGGATGATGATGATGATGATGATGATGATGATGTTGTTGATGATGATGATGATGATGCTGATGATGATGATGACGCTGATGATGATGTTGATGGTGATGACGGTGAGGGGGAGGATGAGGACGAGGATGATGATGCTGATGATGATGAGTATGTTGGTGTTACTGGTGATGATGATGGTGATGATGATGCTGATGATGATGATGCTGATCATGATGATGCTGCTGCTGCTGCTGCTGATGATGATGATGATGATGATGATGATGATGATGATGATGATGATGATGATGATGATGACGATGGGAAGAGGGAGGAGGGGGAGGAGGAGAGTATTATGTTACGTTAACGTGCTGCCTTCTTGCCCAACGCGTTCCACTCGCAGATCGTCTTCTTCTTGAGCTGGCGCGGCGGCAGCTCCATCAGGCAGGCCGCGAGTCTGAGTCGAATGGACTCGCTCATGGTCCGAGCCCGAAGCTCGGCGGGAAGGCCCGAGCCAAACTCGGGGAAGGCCCGAGCCAGAAACTTGGCGGGATCGCCCTGATGTTGCTGATGGCGATGATTGCGTTGGTGATGAGTGCTGGTGGCGGTACCGTATTGATAGCGATGTTGACAACGATGGCAGTGGTGATGATGACGATGCTGGTGATGATGGATTTGGCGAAACGTGACGGTAATGATGACAGTGCTGGATTATGATGGTGATGGTATCGACCTGGTATGATGATGGTGGTGATGATATGGAGTATGGAAACTCATTGAAACTCAAAGAAACTAGCCCTATCTTTGATAATATATAGCAAAAAATGGCACCTTCCACACCTGCTGGGTGGACGGTCTGGAAGGTGGAGGGCGTGGGGGTGTTCTAGCGGTTCTGGCCTACCTTTCAGGCCAGCCACCACCACTTCCAGGCCAGCGATGGCCGCGGCGCGCGATGCCGAGGTCCGCCCGCAGTCGGTTCGCGCGGCAGTCCGTCTGGCCGCTCACCCACCCACCTTTTTACGCGACTGCCCCCTCTCTTCAGGGACACCGCACGGGGGGGATAGGCTCGGGGGAGGACGCATCGACGCCCAATCGCCCATTCAGCGCCGACAGGGGCTCGATGGCCCAACCCGCCCAGGAAGGTCCGTTTCTGCTATCCGGGGCCTATTGCCGACCAATCGACGACGCGTATCACCGATCCCAGCTCCGTGTGTCTCCCTCCCCCTAGCCGGTTCCCCCCTACACCGTTGCTTCTGCTCCGCTTCTTCCGTCCTCCCGCGGGGCGGCACGCACCCAAGGGAAGATGGGGTGGCCCCCAGGGAGGGCCGGGGGGGCGGCCTGCCAGACATGATAGAGGCGATTTTGGAGGGGCGTCGTGGCCGTGCAACGCCTACTCCTCCGCGCCGCTCGTCGTCGTCGTCGTCGTCGTTGTCGTCTACGTTGTCGTCGTCTACGTCGTCTACGTCGTCGTCGTCGTCGTCGTCGTCCAGCGAGAGCCTGCGGCAGGCTTGCCATGCTGGAGGCGAAGAGGGCGCAGCAGGCGGAGAAGAAGGCCGGGGCTCGCCCACCATGGGGATCGAGGCTTTTGTCCAGGGTGGGGGTCCATCCACAAGAACGTCCTGGGGGATCGATTTTCGGTGACCTTTGCAGGTGGTTATATTGAGATGGATATGGACATGGATATGGATATGAATATGGATATGGATATGGATATGGATATGGATATATGTATGTATGTATGTATGTATGTATGTATGTATGTATGTATGTATGAATGTATGAATGTATGAATGTATGAATGTATGAATGTATATATATTTACATATACATACACCTACCTCCAGGGCCAGAATATATCCACATTCACCCCCTGTCGAGTCCCGGAGGCTCGATCCCCCAGGCGGTGGTTATGGATGAATCCCCGCCTCGCATTGTGGGCGTTATTCGTTTTATCAGCGGTACAACTTCCACGACGTATTCGGCTTTCCCCGAGGCCTCTGGGGGGCTCCTCGTCGGTTCCTTTTGAAATTCTGGGCAGAGCGCATCCCTGGACAGAGGTCCGTGGGGCTGATTTCTGATGGTCGCCATGCAGACCGTGCCCTCCGGCAACGAAGAAGGAGGTGGACCTCTGTTCCTCGGCGGAGGGCCGGCGGAGGCAGTGCCAGGGCGTCTCCGCCAGCGGAAGGCCGGCGGAAGTACGGCAGGCCACCCTCGAGAGATGTCCGCATTCGTGCGATGCCGGGCTGCAGGAGCGGGCCACATTCGGGGGTGGACAGAACCCCCAACAGTGACACGTCGATTAGTGAATTGTCCGTTTTCGGTTCTCGAGAGGGCGCCGTGGCCGTTATTTTCCAGGCTTGCGCCCGCCAGGTTTGGGCCTCAGGTCGTTTTCACTAAACCACGTTTTACTAAAGGCGGGTCTGTCCGTCCCCGACACATCAGGGCCCTCGCGACCTGGATTGCAGCGGCGCGATCTCGCAGATACGCGATCCCACGGATACGTTCCGCGCGGAGGACGTCCGCGCAGCGACGGCCTGCATCCATGGGTTCACGGCAAAGGCGTGCATACCGCGAGGCCAAGGAGATGGATGCGTGTCCAGCCCCCGAGTCGATACCCAGAGACTGCGAAGAGCTGGTTGGACCTTTTCTATCCGATAGACTGCTATCTTTTCGTGTGTCTCTGCCGTGGGGTCGACGTGGGTCCTACGCTGACTGACGCGGATTCGACATGGATTCGACGCGCATAGCGACGCGATGCAACAGATGAGGTCCTCCGAGGTTGCCGCTCCAGCATAATGAGGAGGTGTGCGCCCCGGAGCTCGCCGCCCAAAGCCGGGGCCCAGCCAGGGCCAGGGTGGTCCCGCGGAGCGGACGGGGGAGCACTCCGTGTCGAGTGCTGGTCGGATGGCGTGGTATCAGGCGCGGCCCGCGGCTGGCAGGGGCTCGGGCTGGGCCGGCGGCTGCTGGATGCCCTCTGGTGGGCGGTGCTTTCGCATCGCCCGGGTTGACCGCGGGATGCGCGCGGGGGCCAGGTAGGGCGCTGCGTCCCCATGTTGTGTCACGCGGTCTGCCTTGTTGCTCTCCTGGTCCTCGTCCGCTGCTGCGCTAGCTAGACTGGTAGTTCCGAGCGCGGGGTGCCGCAAGGATGTCGCGCAACGCGCCGCTGAGCAAGAACATAATGTCTGCGCGCGGCCGCTGGGAATGGGAATGCGCTCCACGAGCTCCGTGATTGCCACAAGTGCGTGCCAGCTGCGCGGCCAGCGTCAGAGATCAGTGGCGCACACGTGGCCCAGCGCATCTCCATTTGAAGGTGGTGTGCGCAAGAGGGACGTGCGCGGCGCCCAGCCACGCCGCGCAAAGGCGGATGCGGTCCACAAGCAGGCTGCCGCGGATGCAAGCTGCGCTCGGACGGCTGCCCTGAAAATTCCTTTAGGGCCCGGCAGCGCACGCCCGGCCACTGCAGCCCCACACCATGCAGCGGTCCATGAAGGACCTCTCCCTCGAGGGATCGAGGGGTTGCCACTGTCTGCTCGGCAAAAGGTCGGCGAAAGCCACCGGAAGGAGAATGGAGATGGGTGCGCTGGCGGAAGTTGGCGGGAGGCCAGTGGAAGCAAAAGTCGTCCCCCAAAAAATATGTTTTTTGTTTTTCTGATGCAGGGTTTCGGGGGTCGGCCATCTTGCCGCACGCGCCATCAATGGCTGGCTGGGGTTTGCCCCTTGAGCACCTTCACCTGAACGACGGAAGAAAACGGGTTCGAATGCGCGGGCATTCGCGCGTGATCTGCACGCATCAGATCACGCGTGACCGCCCTCGTCTTCAACGTAGCGTGCCGCGCTAGCGGCCCGCGTAGGTGCCCGCGTAAGGGCGCCATTTCAGCGTGCGTGAGGCCTGTTTGTTTTCCGTCGCTTTTCTTTTGTTGCCTTCTCCTTCCGAACCACGATATTACGAGCACAACGCGAAAGATCTACGATGTATCCAGGCCGCTGGGTGCATAGAGTGGTTTGCCAGCGAGCCAGGGGGCAATGCAGAGGGGGTGGGCCCGCTCAGAAGGCTCCGAAGGCCTCCAGCCTTCTGCGAATTGTCCTACGCCTCTCCCGAAGACGCAGAACATGCTCCGGACGGCGCAAGGGTTCCTAAAGCCCCGCCGCCTTCTCAGAGGACATGCCCACCCTCACTTGCGCCATGGGCTCGCCGCCGAGCGGTGGCCACCACATGAGGGGGCGCATGCTTCCGAAGCTTGAACAGAAGCCCTCCCTTGCCGCAGCTACGGCCTCCACGCCGTGCCCCGATGGGCACGGGCGAGCTCCCCAGAGGCGGTCGCTTCGCTTCGCCTCGCTTCGCTTCGCTCCTCCCCACCGCGTATGTCCTCGCGCGTCAGACCCGCTTCTCTTCGTCGGTCACCTTTCCTTTGCGTCGGTCGCTCTTCCTCCCCCGGCGGCCTGCCCGCGGCCGCGGGCCAGGCCTACGCCGAGCAGAAGGCCGCGGAGGCGGCGGGCCAGGCCTTGAAGGGCAAGGCCAGCGCGAAGGTTGCGCTCTCCAAGGCTCGCTTGGGCCCGGCGCGACGCGCGGGGCGCGGAGGCGGAGCCTCTCAGAGGAGGAGGAGGAGGAGGAGGAGGAGGAGGAGGAGGCGGCGGCGGCGGCGGAAGAGCAGGCACCCGTGCCGCTACCAGTGCCTCGTTTTCGCCTTCTTGGGCCTCCTGGGATGCCCTCGTCGCCACCGCTGGACTCGCCTCGAAAATCTGGTCGGGATGCACCCTGGGAGAGGTCCAGGGAGTACCGGTATCCCGGTATCGGTGCCTTCTGCTTTCTCGGTGTGGTCACGGGGCCCGTTTCGATCCGGTCCTCCCTGCTCGACATCGAATCCAGCCGGCCCGATCCGATGCAGCTCCGAGGTTCCAGCGGTGCGGCAAGGTGCTCGCATGGCGCGGTTGTGCACCCAGGCGCGGCCGATTCGAGTCGGTTCCGACTTCATGCCGATGTAAGCCGATCCGACGCCCATTCAGATTCGATCCAAGTTCCCGACTTGGTATTGACTGATGCTGGATGGTCACACCGCGTGGTGAGTCGGTCGGGATTCGGTGCCACCAGACGGTCTTGGGACTCCTAGGTACCCCAGGTGAGGTCCGAGCAGATGGGGTCGGTGCATCGCGCCGCATCGCTAGTGCATCTGCGATGCGGCTCTATGTGGAGCCAGAATTTCTCGATACCGATGGCGCCAGAGCATCGCTCGCCGACGTCGCCGATGCATCGCCGATCCATCTCCGATGCATCGCCGATGCATCGGCAATGCACTGGCCATGCGGCGCGTTCTTCCGACCCCAGCTACTCGGACCCCATCTAGGGGGGCTTGAGGACAGGGGGAGGTCACCTGGAGAAGAACATACAGCATGAGCATCCACTGTCGACGGTCCGCGCGGAGTTCTTGGATTTGCGCTGGAGCCCATTGGCGGCGCCTCCTGGCGCGCTCCGCGCGCCAGGGAGGGGGATCCAGCGCAGATCGAACAAATCCGCGCGGGCCTCCGAAACTTGATTCCCCACACACTGCTTGCACTTCTGAGGGTTCGGCTGGTTCCCGATTCGTGCCGCCTCGTTGCCGCCTCGTGCGCTGCGTGGGTGTGTCTGTGTTTCGTCTTGTGCCTGGGGCCGTGGCCGCCTCGTTGCCACCTCGTGCGCTGCGTGGGGGCACTGGGATTTGGGCTGGTGCCCAGTTTGTGCCGCCTCGTTGTCGCCTCGTGCGGTTGGTGGCTCCTCGTTGCCGCCTCGTGCATTGCGTGGATGCGCCCAGGATTCGCAACGTTGCCGCCAGTGGCGCTTCGATGTCGCCACTTAGGTTGCACCAGACAGCGTACACCACATAGTTTGCACCACATATCTTACACCACGTAGTTTACACCAAACAGTCTGCACCGCAAAGCAAACACATCCACAGTCCACTATCTTACTGTTTAGGGTCCACGCTGGCTAGCAGGTATACGCAGTGATTTTTGCTATGATCATGGCCATGGCCATGGGACTTCCATGACTGCATGGGCTCCCTTCTTCGTTCAAGGCGTTCCTTGGCCCCTCTCGTCCGCGCACTTGCTTCGGGCCACCATGAGCTCACCCGCGTCTCCCTGGCCTCCTGTTGTCAGCGCGCTCCACCGGGGAGGGAAGGCCCAGGCCCCCCCTCGCCGTCGCCAGGGGCCCCTTGCCCGGCCATCGGGAAGCCGGTCCCGGGGACGGGGCTGAGACCCCGAGAGGATCTTGCTGCGGACAAAGTCACGACGTCGGGGGTCGGGGGACAGATGAGAACGGGGGGGAAGTCGGGAAGGCTCTGGGTGCGAGTGGTCGAGCCTTTCCAGGGATCATGATAAAGTCCTGGAATGGGCGCGGCACTCGATAATTTGTCTGGACCCGCTGGTTCTCAGAGATCTCCAGCTCACTCGTGCCCTGTTTGTTCGCCTTGCGCCGCTTCTGTCACCAGCATCTCCGACACCAGCGTAGGCGCCTACGCCAACACCAATGCTACGCTCGCAGTGTAGACAGCACTTCCAGCACCAGTATTGTTGCACATGCCTGCAACCCTATCCCGTCAATAGCACCTCCCACAGCATCGACATTGGACGCACAGCGGCGAGACGGGCATTTGCATTCCGACCCCAGCCTTCCCACGCAAACTTATCAGCGAAAATCTGACGACGACCTTGTGTGTCCAGGCCTCCCAACCGGGGTCCGAGTAGATCGCGCCGCATGGCCAATGCATCGGCGTTGCGGCTCGATGTGGAGCCCGACTTTCTCCGCGCCGACGCGGCGCGATCCCCCGACCCCGCATACTCGGACCCCATCTGGGAGGCCTCGACGTACGGCGCCCGTCTCCGCAGAACCGAGTTGCCAGCGGCGCCCCGTTGCAGCGTAAGCGGTGGCCTCGGGGCGAGCGGTGAGGCGTCGGAGCGGGCAGCGCGGTTGCCAATCGTCGCCTTGCATTTGGAGTGAGCGTTGATTGCGCCGGCTGTGGTCACGGTCGACATGCGCGAATCGGCCGCGATATCCGAGCCTTACCCTCGCCGATCAGCTATTCAGGCAATTCGAGGGGCGGCTGGGGCAGGAATCGGACTTCGTCGAACACGTGGCGAGGTCCGAGCTACCCCCGCCTCCCAGCGACCCAGGAGAGTCGACGGTGGATGAGGGAAGGGTCTGGATGTCGCCAACTGCCTAGTGAAAAAGGCATGCTGGCCCCTCCGCTTATGGATGGTGCGGGCTTGGCTTTTTTTGTCCCTCCGCGCTGCGCATGGGGTGCCACAGCTCTGCTGCAGCTTTTGGTCCCACCACGCTCGGCGCACGGAGCTCGGCCTGCATTCCTCGTGGGCCTGCTTTCCACCACCACCAGAAGTCGGAGGGGGGAAGGAGGTGGAAGATGACGAGGAGGACGAAGAGAAGGAGGAGGAGGAGGAGGAGGAGGAGGAGGAGGAGGAGAAGGAGGATGAGGAGGAGGAGGAAGAAGAAAAGGAGGAGGAGGAGGAGGAGGAGGAGGAGGGCCCTCTCCCCTTCCTGCTTCTGGTGGTGGTGGTGGGAAACGAGCCCACCCGTCTCTGCGCCGCGCGCCCGTGCGGGCGCGCCCAGGCGTGCTCCGGCGCTCGCCTGGCAGCAGGGCGCCGTCGGCAGGGGTCGGTCGACCGGGCCTCGGGCTCCCGACGCTTCGTTTCCGAAGGGGCCCAGGACGACGAAACATTGAAAATAAATGGTCAAAAATATTATAAAAATAGTCCCCAGACTATTTGTGGACTATGTTTGGATTATTTTTTGGGGTGTTTTTTATTTTTCGTCGAGCATTCCCAAGTAGGGGGACGGGCCCGACTTAACGCTTCGTTTCTGAAGGGGCCCCAGGGGCCCAGGACACACAAATAAATCCACACAAAAATGGAAAGAGTCCCCATGTGTTCCCATATTTTCTAAGCTTTCGTCTGCCCCCACCCCACTTCCCCTATTTTCCCATCTTCTCCTGGGGGTCGACGAACCAGTGTGTCTGTGTGTTTCCGCAAACGACGTGTTGATATTACCACTCTCCCGCCGAGGGTGGGGCGCCCACGGGAACAAACATCGGGGTTCTGGAGACGGGGGTCAATACAAACGGGGTCAGCCAGGGCACCCGATCTTGAAGCCTGCGAAGACCCTCTCGGGCTGACCCGGGGCAGCGAGCCGCTCGTGGCCGCGAGGTGGCCGCACATTTGGCTGACCTGGGTTTGCGAAGCCCTGCGTTGCAGGTTTTGTTCCAGCTTTGCAGTTTTGTCGTTTCCTGCTGACCCGGGTCTGGACTGACCCAAGGTCAGCAGATCCCCGAAAAAAAAGTAGTTTGTAGTGGCCTCGTGCCCGAAGTGGGAGGGGAGGGGAGGGGGCGAGGGGAGGAGAGGAGGGTGGAAGAGGGGGGGAAGGAGGGAAGCAGGGAGAGGGAGACGGGATCGGTGGAGATTTGTGTGCTGACCTCCCCTCATCCCCAGATCTTCCAGAATGAATGAATGAATGAAGCCGCGTGTCCGTAAGCACATGAGCAATGACCAGCTGACCTACCTTCAACATTGACCTCCAGACCAGCTGACCCATCTGGAACGCGCAAAGCCTGCACCGCATTGTAAGTGCACAGGTCTTGGTGCGATTGTAGTGCATGCCTGGAAGGTGCTCCGTAGGACGCGTGTTGGCCCAGTGTGATTGTCTCGCTTAGTTTCACCGATCGCGCGCAGCCTGCGCTGGCCCTTTCTGCACTGCCTGCGTCGTGTTGAAGAGCTTCGGCGGACCAGCGCACGTTGTCACTGACACGCGTTCCGAGGATCACCGGCCCTCCCTGAGAGGGGAGGAAGTCGGACGGGGCTAGGACGAGGCTCAATCCTCGCCAGGGCGCTCCAGAACGCTCTGGGAGCCTTTCAGAACGCTCTGAGAAGGCCGCGGCGCCCAAGACATCCTCCCCGGAGCCGCCGCATCTTAGGGATTCGATTTATCCTCACCTGGGTTTATCCTCGTCCTGGTTTCGTCTTAGACGGTCGGCGGGCGCGGCGCTTCGGGGGTCCTCTGCCGTGCCCCCTCCCCCTGCAGTGCGCGGTCGGTTCCCCGCGTGGTTGGCGGTGTAGACCTGGGTGGGGAGGGGGGGGTGAGGAGGAGGAGGGGGAGGAGGAGCAGGAGGGAGTAGAGAGTTTAGGAGAGGAGGAGAAAGGAGAAGGAGGAGGAGGAGAAGGAGGAGTATGAAGACAAGGAGTAGGAGGAGGAGGAGGAGGAGGAGGAGGAGAGATTAGAGAGTGTAGGAAGAGGGGGAGGAGAATCAGGAGAAGGAGGAGAAGGAAGTTTAGGAAGGAGGACGAGGAGGAGGAGAAGGAAGAGAGGGGGGTGGAGGAGGAGGGAGTGGAGGAGAAGGGTGGGGAGGGGGGAGAGGAGGATGAGGAGGAATTGGAGGAGGAGGAGGAGGAGGAGGAGGAGGAGGAGGGAGTGGTAGGGCATTCGAACATTTTTTGTTCACACGAGTTCGTCGACATCGTCGTGCGCGTCCGACGCCGCCCCTTCAGAGCTTCAAAGTTGCGCGCCCCCGCATGCCCTTCGCAACTGCCCCCGTTCCGACAAATTTTCCCAGGGCCCCCAGGCCCCCTCCTGTCCGCTCCTCATCCGCCGTCCTCCCTCCAGGTGCTCCCGTCCTCGTCTTGCCATCAACTTCACCCTCTGTTTTGCCCGGCGTTCCCGGGCCGAGGGAAGAGAAGGGGAACAGACGAGGGAGCAGTTCTGTGAGGGCTCGGCGTTCCATGTAGGTGACTCGAGTGCATGCGGAGATCATCTCCATCTACCCTGTCCCTTCTCATCATTCCTTTTTCCTCCTGCCTCATCCATCCTCGATCTGCTCCTCGTCATCCCCATCTTCCTCTTCCTTCCCCTCCTCATCATCCTTTTCACTCTCCTCATTTCCCTCCTGCTCCTTCCCCCTCTCCTCTTCTTTGTGTCCCCCACGCTCATCATTTCCAACTCCATCCTCCTCCTCTTCCTCCTCATTCTTCTCTTCGTACTCCATCTCCTCCGCCTTCTCCTCCTCCTCCTCATCATCCTCCTCATTTTCGCATTGGTCCTCTTCTCCCCGCTCCCCTGACCTCCCCCCTCCCCGCGAGGGTGCGGCAGACCTGCTCGCGAGGTGCCAGAAAGGAGCGCCCCCACTGCAGAGGCAGAGGAGAATGATGATGAGGAGTGTCAGCAGGAGAAGAATGATGATGAGAAGGAGGAGGATCATCCCCGGCTGAGGCTGCAGAGTTTCGCTTTTACGTCCCGTTGGATTCTTCGTTTGAGCTCGCGTGTCGTCGCGACGGTGTGCTCTGTGTGCTCGTCCCTGCCCTTCGCGTCCTGACTTCATGTGAGTTCTTCGGATCCTTCCCTGCCAGCGGGTGCAGCAGGGTGTGGGCGGGGGAGGGAGGGGGAAGAGAGGGAGCAGGGAGGGAGGGGGCAGTGAGGGGGCAGGGAAGGGAGTGGGTGAGGGACGCCAGTCGCGAAGCGAGTTCGGCTTAAGTTGCGCTCGCCCTCCGGGTTGCCTCAGCCCTACTTCGAACCTTCGGCCATCGGCCCGACAGGATCCGACTCGAATTGTCAGTTCGGGTGGGTGTCCCTACCTTGTGGCACTACTGCCCAAGGCTCTGAATGCGGGGAAGGGAAGGGAGCAGGGGGAAGAAAGAACTGAGGAGGGGGATCCGGGGGCGGTCCCGGATCCCCCCCCCATTCCCGCCGCCCTGGGTGCTGCGCGTGCGTGGGAGTAATGTGGGGAGGTGGGGCCCAGCGCCGACCCGACAAGTCCACGAGGCGCCCTGCGCTCGCATGTCGCATCAGAGGAGGACAAACGGCCTCGATCTGCTCTGCGACGGTTTCCCCGCAGATCGCTCTCTTCCTGAAAAGGGGTTCTTCTGCGACTCCTTTCAGAACCCTTCCAGACGACATCTTCTGAACGATTTCTCCCGAATGATTTTTTCTGGGCGGCGTCTTCCGGGCGCGAGTTCTTCCGGACGACTTTTTCCTAACTATTTCTTCCAGACGGTTGTTTCCGATCAATTGCCGAACGAGTTCTACGAAACGACTTCTTCCGGGCTGCTGCTCCCCCTCCTCCTCCTCGTCCTCCTCCTCATTTTCCTTCTCCTCCTCCTCCTCCTCATCCTCACCTTCCTTCTCCTCCTCCTCCTCCTCCTCCTCCGCGACCTTGTCCTCCTCCGCATCCACGGCCCCGCTCCTCCATCCTCCCACTCCTCCTCTCTGAAGGAGGCCGCAAGATGGCCCACGGGAGCCCCAAGAGAAGCCCAAGAGGCCTCCAAGACGGCCTTAAGACTGGCCCAGGCACGGCCGAAGAGCGTCCGAAGAGCGCCCCAGGAGGGACCCAAGACGCCCTTCTTGGAGCCTCCGAGGGGAGGGGCGCTGAATTTCCACCGCCGTGTTAGTCAGCCACTGCGGCCAAGACGGCCCCAAGAGACCTCTCGGATCCACCCCAAATGCCCCAAGAGGGCCCCAACAGAGCCCGACGATCGCTCCAAGAGACCCCCGAGACCCCCTCACAACAACACCTCAACTCGCCTGGCAAACTGCTTTTGGATGGGCTGGGTGGGATACCCGAACAATGGCACGGCGGCGCCTGCTTGAAAACCTCATCAATGTCGGGGTCTCCATCATCTAGTCCGTCCTCGTATTTACTACGATCATTCCTCCACGCACTCACCGCGAAAAAACCCTTATCATGCACGAGCCCTCCCTTATCTAATGCCCTCACCCGTGAACTTATCCCCTGTTGTGCGGGATCGGCAGTATGGATGAAGCTTCTTGAAACAATATGCGACGCGCGCAGGACCTTCCACATTCTGCACCGCCATCCGGCGCCCACTGGCACAAGCAGAAGCGTTTCTAAGCGGCGCCAGGTAGCCTATCGGCGCAAACCAACCAAAAAGACGACGGGGGAGCAAGATGAGCGAGAGAACTCAGAATCGCATCAAATTGCAATGCTGGGTCCTGTTGCGAGAGCAATGCAATGTATTGCAACTGCAATGCACATGCAACGCAGTGCAACGCAATGCAACGCAACAGGATGCAATCTAATGTGATGCAATGCCATGCAATGGAATGAACATGCAACGCAATGCAATGCAGCAGGATGCAATGCAATGCAGCGCATCATAATGCAGCGCAGCGCAATTCAATGCAATACAATGCAACGTAACGCAATGCACTGCAACGCAATGCACAGTAACGGAATGTGCATCTCGGCACGTGGCAGCGCCGCGGGGCCGAACAGAAACATTTGGAATTCCATTCTCCACGTGGCAACGCTTTGGCGGGCGACAGAATAGTATTCCACTCCACTCGTCGCGTGGCAACGTCTGTAGGCGCGAATAAATCGTATTCCATTCTAGTCGTCACGTGGCAGCGCCGCGGGGGCCGAAACCAGCATTATGCTACGAAGACGACGAGGACGACGACGAGAATGACGACGACGACGATGCTGACGACGACGTTGACAAGGGCCATCGGGGCGAACAGACCCTCCTCCCCCCCCTCCTCCCTCGTCCTTCCTTCTTCCCTCCTGTCTACCTTCCTCCCTTCTCCTCCGTCCTGTCCTCCCCCTCGCCCACAATGCATGGCAATGCAACGTAATGCAAATGCAATGCAAATGCAAGGCACAGCAATGCAATTCAACGCAACAGGATCGTTGGTTGGCAGGTTGGCTGGCTGGTGGCTGTTCGTTCGGTAGGATGAATAGTTAGTTGGTTGGGTGGCCGTCACGTGGCAACGTTTGGGCGGGCGACAAAATATTCTTCAGGCTTACGCCACATCTGCCGACCCCTTGATTCGGTATGCGTGCCAACTCGGAATCTCGTAGTGGATGTCAGGACACTCTTTCGGGCACTGGAGACTCACTATTTTGGGTCGCTCTCCAGGGCACTCGGGTCTTCCTCAGGTTGTCAGTGCGGCCTCTTCGAGCTCGTTTGGGCTGGACTCTTGGTATTTTCGGTTCGCATTTATGGACTTCCACACGAAGGAGTGGCACCAGGCCAGGGTGGGAGCCGGGTTTGTATCCGATCTTCCCATCGAAAGGTCGGACTTGGTTCTTGGACGGGTATAGGAAGCATCCCGTGTTGAGTGTGAAGCGCACCCAGTTTATGAGAACCCTGGCTTTGGCAGTGACGGCGCACTCTGCGCAGGGCCGGACCATGGGGGCAGTGATAGCGGACCTTGAAAAAGGGCGCGGCGTGAGTTGGATGTCAAGTTACGTTGCCATCACTGATTATCTGGCCTTGTGATAGGACACCGTACAATGCAGGTGAGATGGTGGGCACACGACAACTATTGCAGGTGCTACGAGGGGAGAGCGTCGATTGGGACGCATGGGAGGCGGGACTGATGCCGCGAGACCAGCGCGAGCGCTGCCAGCGGAGGTTGCTTGTAGAGTCGTTCGCGAAGTACGAGTTCCAGAGGAAGGATAGGCCGGCTTTCTGCAAGGAGCGCGCGGAAGAGATGAACAACGCGGACGAAAAATGGTGCGCAACGCGCACAGGGCGGGCAACAAGAGCGCGGGGTGAGGAGGCGATTCGACATGGTAGCGGTCGGAACGCGGACGGCGCGGTCGACGACAGGGAGACGAAAAGGATTCGGACAACGCCTTGCGCGAAGTGCAGCCATGTCAAAGCCCAGCAGAAGTCAAGGAGCGGCAACGCGAAGTGGAACGAGAGCGCGGGCGCTGTGCGATTTACGAACGATAAGTGCCTGTCGCTGTGCGACGAACAGGCGGAGATGTCGGAAGCTCAGAAGAAACGCAGCGCAGCGGGGCAGAGGTTGCGTCGGAAGTGCGCGGAAGATCGAGAGAAGGCGGCGCTGCGGAGGAATTGCGCAGCAGAGAATCGAAAACGGAGAGCAGGCGGAAGCGGAGCCGCTGACGTGTTGCGCGCCCTGTTGCGGGGTGTCTTTCTGGGAGGTCGGCCGTTCGTGTAGGAATCAGGTGGAAAACCGCCGGGCGACGAAAAAAGAAAGGGCGGTGCGCGCACAGTGTCACCAAAAGGACGTCAGCGCTAAGGGAGTGCCAAATGCGGCGAAGCGGTTGAAGAGGCTGTTGCTGTGTGCAGCGCGCACGAAGTAGTTCGCTCGGCAGCAGCACATCAGCGACAGGCAAGAGAGTGATCACTTCACGAGGAACGCTACATTTGCATGCGCGGAGTGCATTGTCGTCGGCTTCGCGGCTCGAAATTCGCAAGCGTACGAGTGCTTCGGCGCTTTCAAGAGGAAGCTCCCGAAATCTCAGTCCGCGGGTGGACCGCATTTCGCGCGCGCCCACCAAAACCGCGCGCTGAAGTGCAAAGCCTGCGCGTGAGACCCGCGGCAGCGCTTGCGGCAGCGCGCGAGTGCGCTGCGCCGTCAGGAGGAACAGCAAGAGGAGGGGGCAACGCAGAGGAAGGGAGTTTGTCGATGTTTCGGTTTGGAGGCCAAGGGAGGGAACATATTATGCCGGCGCTATACAGGCGGTGGGTCGAATTGCCGGGTATGACATTGTCGATGCGGTCGAGCTCCGTGACAGAGTTTCGCAGCCTTCGGCCCATCCCGCCGCCGTGCCTGGGTTGTGAGTATAAAGCATCGGGAATGTCCGTCGGAATCTCGCGGGGAGGGTTCCCGCGAGCCTCTGGGCGTCAGTTTTGAAGGCTCCTGGACGCCGTTCCAGAGCCTCTTTTCAGCCTGTTGGAGACCTTCGGGTCCTTTTGAGTGCCTTTTGGAGGCCTCTGGGCTTCCTTGGAGCCACTTGTGGCCTTTCCTGGGGCCGTCATGGAGCGCTTGAGTGCCGTCTTGGGCGCCGCTGGGGCCGTCTTGGAGCTCTCTTGGGCTGCATTGAGGGAGTATTGGGAAAGGTTTGGGCCGTCTTGTAGCGGTTTTGGGTGCCTCGCGGGTGTTCGCCCACGCCGCGAAGGCCGAAAAGGCGCGTGTGCGACAAGTGATTCGGCGATTTCGGCTCCTTGGGGGTTTCTTGGGAGGCCTCGTGGAGACCTCTTGGGGAGTCTTCGCGGCTTCTTGGGCGTCATGGATCGATCATTCGGCGACTTGGGGGTGTCTTGGGAGGTTTGCCGAGTTGTCTTGGAGCTCCAGGCTGAGCCTGCGGGGCCCGGACCGCCCCTGATGAGTTCGGGTGTGGGTCGGATCCGACGAGGCGGGGGGGGTCAAATTGCCGGTTTGGGGTCCCGGGGGGGGCTTATGGGGGGGGGGGGGGGGAACAATGTCACACGCCTACAGACCCACGAGGGGTCGGCGGACCATTCCACTCTATTCGTCACGTGGCAATGCCGCGGGGGCACGTGGCAACCCCTTGCGGGGACCGAGCCCATATTATTCCATTGTTCGTCACGCCGTAACGCGTTGGCGGGTCCAAAAACACTTCACGCGCAAGATGGCAACGCTTGGGGGCGCGAAGAAACATAATTCCACCCATTCAACTTGTCGCGTGGCAGCGCCGCGGGGGCCAGAAGCACACAACTATTCTACTCCACTCACCACGTGGCAACGTTGCAGGAGGCAACAACAAAACACTATGCCACTCCACTCGCCACGTGGCAACGCCGCGGGGGCCGAACAAAAACATCATGCCACGAAGACGACGAGGAGCAGGAGCATCGGCACCCGCTCCTCCTCTGGCCTCGTCCTCCTCCGCACCATCAGCAGCCGCGGAACAACAGCCGGCAAGGAGAACTCCTTTTCGGCACGGGCAAGTCCTCCTGTTCCTCCTCGTCCTCCTCCTTCTCCAGAGTCGACACCCAAACCTCTTTTTCCTGATGACAGTTGCTTCATCCCGATCCGCTTGTGCAGGGTTCCAGAGGCCAGGGCATGCCCCGAATAATCTGGAAAGACGATATCGTCCGAGCGATATCTTCCGATGCCCTTTCTTCCGTTTTTTATATTCCGATGAATTTTTCTTCCGGGCGATTCTTCCGGGGCAATTTATCATGTAGGGCAACATCTTCCGGGCAATTCCCTCCGCGACCAAATGCTTTCGACGGGGCTTCTTCCGAACGACTTGTGTAGGATTTCTTCCAGACGATTTCCGCACGATTTTTTCCGGACGAGTTTTTCCGGACAGTTTTTTATGCCGAGGATTTTTTCTGGATCATTTCTTCCGGGCGACTTCCTATTCTCGTTCTGTCATCTCTCCGTCTGCCTCCCCTCCCTGCTCCTCCTCGCCTTGCCCCCCCTCCTCGTCCTCCTCCTCGTCGTCGCCGTCCGCATGTACATTTGCTCAGCGCCGATGTCGTCAGAGATCAATGTTTTCCTCGCCGATTTTTTCTGGACGATTTTTTCTGGACGGCCTCTTCCGGAATGCTTCTTCCGAGGACGAGTCTTGCCGCGACGACTTCTTCCGGACCAGTTGTTCCGGACCTCTTTTCCCAGACCATAAGAAAGTTCTTCCGGAAGAAAGTTCTTCTGGAAGAAATCGTCGCGGAAGAAGTCGCGGACGAGCTCGTCGTCTTTCCCCGAAGCCAGGGCTGCGCGCGGCGCGGCCCCTTTTTCGCCACTGCGCCTCCGCCCACGGGAGCGTGCACGTGCGAGTTGCTGGCCTCGTGCCCCGGGCTGGCCACCGCATCGGACCGTGTCCACCCGCCGCGCCGCCGCCGACCGGCAACAGTAGGAGCGTGAATGGTTGCTGTTGGGATTTGGGGAGGGCAAGTGCTGAGGGGGTAAAGAGGGAGGAGAAGGAGGAGGAGGAGGAAGAGGAGGAGGAGGACAAGGACGATAAGGTGGGCCTGGTGTTGTTTCGCCTCGGGCAGCGCTGGCAACGCCAAGGCGGCTCTACGCACGCCGCCACTGCGAATCGTCTCGTGTCTTCGACTGCACCGGGTGCGCTCTTGCCGAAGTGTGTCTTGTAGTCTGTAGTTGCACGCTGGCTTCGCTGTGCGCCGCCGTGGAAGACCCTCCTCTCCTCGTGTCTCTCGCTCTCTCTCTTTCTCCAGTTGCGTAAGAGTGTACAGTGAATAACAAGGGGGGGAGACGAACGCTGCTCAAAGGGTGGGGCATGAGGACGGGAGAGTCTGGGGGATGCTCGAGGAGGCAGGAGGGACGAGGCGCTGAGCGGGAGGGGGTGGAGACAAGCAAGCAGCGGGGAGCAGGGCCAGAGGGAGGACCGCGGGGGCAAGGAGCGACGTGGCGGTAGGCGGGAGGGACGAGCAGCGGGGAGGAGGGCCAAAGTGGGGCCGGCAACAGGGCGAGAGGCGATGCTGAGCCTCGCCCGCCCGCAGGAGGGCCTATCAGCGAGCGGCAGGTGCTGGCGACGGTGGCGGAGCGCGTCACTGCGGACCCCGAGAAGGACCAGCCGCCCCTGCGGAGGAGGAGCAGGAGGAGGAGGAGGACGAGCAAATCAGGATGAGCACAGGAGCAGGATCAGGAGCCCCCTCGAGGAGGAAGGTAATGAGGAAGAGCAGCAGCAGGAGAAGGACCAGTGCAAGCCCAAGATTCGTCAACGAGACTGCAATGGACGCTCCCTCCAAGTTCCCCTCGTCACAGGCCCCTGCAATAATTCATTTCATTTGGGGAAGTGCCGCGTTGGAAGACAATCGTTTGACAATTTTCGAACTTTGCCAGATCATCATTCCTGTTTTTTTTCCGCCGCGAATCACCGTTACTGTTGCGTCGTGACGGTCCGCAATCGCGCCAGAACGCGATTGCTGGGACCTCAACACCGCGAATCAACGTGACTGCTGCGTCCTGACATTCCGACATCTTGCCAGAACACGTTCTTTGGAACGCGGGCCATTCGAATCTTTGAAGCTGCTGCAAACTCTTAAGACGAATCTGTGCGCGCCTCGGCGAGAGCCACATTTTGAACAGGAACCGCCCTCCATCCGTGAAACTTGTTTGGCGTCTTTTTCAGACGAGTTGCGCGGCGCCAAGGCGAGAGCCGCATTTCGAAAACGGCCCGCCCTGGATGAGTGGAGCCCTGGATGAGAGGGCTCCAATCTTGGAGCCCCAAGAGGGCTCCAAGAGGGCTCCAAGGAGGCCCCAAAGCGCATGTACTTGATATGCTTCTTGGGCCTGCCAGAGGGGCACCCGAGTACATGCGTCATGAGGGCCTTCTTGGAGCCCTCCTGGAGGCTTTTTGGAGCTCTGAGATGGCCCCCCTGAGGGTTCCAAGAGGGCCCCAGGAGGGCTCCAAGCCCATGACGCATGCACGTGGGTGCCCCTCTGGCAGGCCCAAGAAGCATACCAGGTACATGCTGTTCGGGGCCCTCTCGGACCCCTCCGAGGGCCCACCTGGAGCGCTTTTGGGGCCCTCGTGGAGCACCCTGGGGCCCCCAAGTCGCTTCCAAGGGACATCCGATGGGGTGGAGGGCGAGGTGGAGGGAGGGTGGAGGGGGGTGGAGGGGGAGGTGGAGGGGAAGGGGGTGCTGGAGGGTGGGGTGGACAGGGGGTGGAGGGGCTGGTGGAGGGGGGCAGATCCCAGGGGAGAGGGTAGGGAGAGGGGTTTGATCAGGAAGCTGGAGAAGGAATCGCCCTAGACCGCTTACGCCCAAAGGGCTGGTGGGATTATACAACGAGCCCGCCGCGGGTGCCGATTTCTCGTTAAAGCAATGTGGGAGGGTCGCGGGATGGGTGGCGGGGTCTCGGGTGGGGTGGCGGGTGGGTTGCGGGTGGGTCGCGGGTGGGTCGTGGGCGGGTCGCGGGTGGGTCGCGGGCCGGTCGGCGAGTGGGTCGTTGGTGGGTCGCTGGTGGGTCGCGGGTGGGGTGCGGGTGGGTCGTGGGCGGGTCGCTGGGTGGGTCGCGGGTGGGTCGCGGGTGGTTCGCGGGTAAGTCGCGGGTGGGTCACGGGCGGGTCGCAGGGTGGGTCGCGGGTGGGTCGCGGAGTGGGCCGCGGGGGGGACGATGCCAAACAACAATAATAACAACAACACGAACAACAATAATTTGAAGGTTGTTCGCTTTTATCTGGTCGAGTGTCGTTCAACGTGTATTTCCCAAGCCCTCGATTCCCGCCCTTTTCGTCTTCGATCGTACCCCCTTTGGTGGTATAGTTTTCTTCCCTGCAGGCCGGGCCCCGGCAAACGGCAAGAGGGACGGACAGGGCACCGACGACGACGACGACGGCGACGAGCGAAAGGACGACCGAACGCGCGAGCGACAGCGGGGCCACGAAGGGCATTGATGGGGCCATGAAGGGCAGCAGAGGGGGCCACGAAGGGCGACAGAGGGGCCACGAAGGGCATGCGCATGGGGTCACGAATGGCGCGAACGAGCGGGGTCCACGAAGGGCAGATAATGCGGGGCCACAGGAACGCAACGACAGGACCACTGAGGATAGCAGCGGGGACACGGAGGTCAGCGAGGGGGCCACGAAGGGCGACGGCGAGGCCACGAAGGGCATTCGTATGGCCACGACGGGCGCGAACGAGGGGGGGCCACGAAGGGCATGCGATATTTGGGCCGCAGAGGACAAGGACGGGGCCACTGAGGACGACGGGGCCACGAAGGGCAGCGAAGGGGGACACGAAAGGCGACAGCGGGGCCACGAAACGCATGCGCTTGGAGCCACGACGGGCGCGAACGAGCGGGGGCCACGAAGGGCATGCATACATAGGGGCAGCGAAGGGCAGCGAGGGGGCCGCGAAGGGCGTACATGTATGGGGCCACGAAGGGCAGCGAGGGGGCCACGAAGGGCCACGAAGGGCAGCGAGGGGGCCACGAAGGGTTGCAACGGGGCCACAAAGGGCAGCGATGGGGGCCGCGAGTGGCTGCAACGGGGCCACGAAGGGCAGCGAGAGGGCGACGACGGGCTGCAACGGGGCCACGAAGAGCAGCGATGGAGCCACGCAGGGCTGCAACGGGGCCAGGAAGGGCAGCGAGGGGGCCACGAAGGGCTGCAACGGGGTCACGAAGGGAAGCGAGGGGGCCACGAAAGGCTGCAACGGGGCCACGAAGGGCACGCACCCATGGACAGTGAATGATCCGTTCGCCCCCCTCACTCTGAGAAGAAAGAGGGATGGAGGAGGAGGAGGACGAGGACGAGGAGGAGGAGGAGGAGGAGGAGGAGGACCAAGAGGTTGAGGAGGAGGAGGAGGAGGAGGAGGAGGACGGCGGCACCTTCGCTTCAGCGCGTGGCTTGGCCAGGCGTCCAGGAGTCGGGGTCGGGGGGGTGCTGGATGGGGAGGCGATGTGTGCCCTGTTTGACTGCTCTCGGCTTGCCAACGGCTGCCCGGACGCCTTCTCCGGTGGCGCACGCATTGACCTTGTTTGTTTCGCGATGGCCTCCTCTCCCTGTCGCGCGAAGTGTCAGCACTTCTGTTACCACATACGTACATGCAGTTTGCCTTCAAACGTGTGGTTTTCGACATGTGTCGCCGAAACATGTCGAGGGTGCATGGCGCGTGTCCCCAGAGCTTTCCATATGAAGGCTCACAGCTGGCGGCGGAGACACTCTTCCGTATTGTTAGTACTCTTAGTCGTTGATTCCCAGTGGTTGCATTTTTTATTTTGAGTGACATGTGACAATCGTTAGGTCGACAGGCATGTGTTGTTGTTGATGTCTTGGCATCGCATCTCTGAGGATGCTCTGCTGTTTCGTACTCATTGGCATCCTTCTCCGCTGTCCACGGGTTTGCTGGTATGCTGAGTTCAGGCTCCCTGCATTAGCATTGGCATCTGCATTGTGTCCATGTTGCTCTTGGGCAAATTGCCGATTGGGTGTAGGGGTGCAGTCTCTTCCCGTGTCCAGATGACACACCGCGAGGTGAGTCAGTGGGGATTCGGGGCACCGCATGGTTGTTGGACTCGGGTCGTTCTCCGAGAACGTCTCGGGCGATTGGGGCCTCCGAGGTTCCAAGACCATGCGATGACGTACCGTGCGGCGAGGTCGTTGGGATTCCGAGGTCTCCACGCGGCTTGGGGCCCTGAAGTAGCATGCACCGTTCCTTTCCTTTCCCCGCCCCATGCTCGAGAGGACCTCGACCTCTTCGCGGTGTTCTTCGAGCTGGGCCAGAAGGGCAGCGACGCGCGCACGCGGCAGCTGGCGCTGCTGTCCGCGGTGGCCGTGTTCCAGGATGGGCGATCTCTAGTCGCAGACGTTATCTCGCCCCCATTACCCCAGGGTCTAATTTGATCTAATCGATCTGGTTCGACATCGCTGTCGGCCGACCCGATCCGATTCGATTCCGATGTTCCGACGATCCGATCAGGTCCGATGGTCACGTGGCGTCGTTGTGCGTCATGGCGCGGCCGATCCGGTTCGATTCCGACCTCGTTCCGATGCGGCCCGGTTCGACGTACGTCCCGATCCGATTTGCCAGGTCGACGCAGGCTGCGCCTGTGCCCGATCTTCCCCCCCCCCGTGGAGAATGCCGCTTAGGAAAGATTGGCAGCGCGCCGAGGGCGGAAGCGAGAGAGGGCTGGCCCTCGAAGACAGCGGTGGACCTGCAGTCGGGCCCTCTCAGAAGCCTCCCTTGTGGCTTCGGAGATGGCTTTGAGAGTTTCTCAGAAGGCCAGAGGCCTTCTGGGTCCTCTGAGGTGGACCGTCCCTTCTGCCTTTCCCTCCTCTTCCCCGCGCGCGCCGCTGAAAAGAATGGAATGTAGGGCTGCACCCCTAGAGGGGGGCTATCCATACGCACTCCTAATCTTTTTATCGAGCGTTGGCGCTCTCAATCGTGCGTCCCCGAGATGTCGAAGTCGGCTGGCAAATCGAAAGTCCCACTACGTTCGAGTTTGGGGCCGCCATACCTCCGGATATCTGTGTCTCCCCCTCCCGCCTCGAGAGCAGTCTCTTTCTCTCTCGCCCTCCCCAGTCTTTCCTCTCCCCTCGCGGCTGGAAGGACATCAGTTAGTCGTTCCTCGCCCACGGAGCACATCAGAAGGGCTCCTCCTCACCCCCCCCCTCCCCATGCATCCCCTTGTTAGGATACGTCTCCAGGGAGGGTAGATTCAGCATCGGCGTTGGCATACCCGCGGTCGAAATCCAGCCTGATCCCGCTTGCTTCTGGGCTTAGTTGGGCATGATCCCGCACACCCTTGGGTTTCATGTAATGCAGGGCAGTCCAGTTCAGTGGTTTGTCGTTTCTGGTGTGATAGCCCTTTGACGTTTTAACGAATATGTCTCAAGAGTTGCCTCCTTCATCCCTCCGCGCATCGACCGCAGGACCTGGTCCCCGGCTACCGCATCCGCGAGCTCTCGGAAGCGGAGAAGGAGACGAAGCTGTCAAAGCAGGCAGGCCCACCCACCTCCCTCTCTGGCGGGTGGGAGCGGGACGAGGGCTGCTACCACCACCCAGTGTGGTGCGACCTTGTGGCACTGGGCAGATAGTCCCTTTGCGCACCTTCCTGCAAAGGTTTGGTCGCGCCAGTCCACGCCCCATCCAGGAGAACGCCATCGTTCCGATTTCCGTGGAAGCCTCCGCAGGTCAGGTCCCGGTAGGGGGGTGCGTTGGACACGAAATTACGGAAGGAGGCGGAGGGGGATGAAGAGGAAGAGGATGAGGAGGACGAGGAGTAGCGGAAGTGAGGCCGCGTCAGGATGTCTCAGAGGCCATCATCAAGGCATCATCAACAGGAGGATGAGGAGGCGTAGGAAATTGTTTCACCTTGCCGATTCTTGATGAGGGCGTAGTGGCCGTTCTGGAACTCGGAGGCGCCCTCGGGGTAGAGAACCGAGTCGGGGTACTGCGTGCCGAGCCAGTCGTAGTAGTTGTCCGGGCCCACGGCGAGGCAGTTTTGCATTGCCGCTCAGGACACGAGCGGGTAAGGCCCTGCGGCTTGCGAAGGCCCAGTTTTTCTTCTGTGAGATCGTGTTGGATTCATGCCCATCGGCGACCCATCCGATTGTGTGCGCGAAACTCGCGAGAGCAGCCGTGGCGTCCTAGACATGGGGACGGCGCTGGGAGAGTGAGGGGAGAGGGGGGGCGCACGGGAGGGGGCGGCGTGGGAGGGGCGGGGAACACATCAGCGATGCAGGGGTGGCGGGGAGGCGGGCACGGCAGACTTGGGACGAAATGGCGGGGGAAGCAGGCGAGGCAAGGGTTGGGGGCGCGGACAAGGTAGGATTCTGGAGTACAGGCTACAAGCCCGCCTGGATTTGGAGAGGGGCACGATGTAATTTCTTCTCTCTTTGTTTGAGTATCTATGTCTCTCTCTCTCTCTCTTTCTCTTCTCTCTTCTCTCTAAATATAGATGTCTGTATACATATATATATATACATAGACATCTATATTGATCCGGTTGACTTTTTCTCGCTCTGCTTGTGCACATGGGCGTAGGTCAGGCCCGAACGGAGTTTCGTTTCTATGCACAGTTGCAGGTGGTAAGACCTGAACTGTACGGGCGGCAGAGCAGAGGCTTCCCAAGTTCCTATCCGGCCAGGGCGGTTGGAATGACAAGGACGTCAAGGCGGAGCATGAGTAGGAGTATGAGAGGGAAGGACAGGGGGAGCATGAGGATGAGGCGGACCACAAAGGGAAAGGGGCGGAGGAGGACGACGTTGACATCGACGGCGAGGGGGAGGAGGAGGGGGAGGAGGGAGGAGGAGGAGGAGGAAGAGGAGGAGGAGGAGGGAGATCTGGAAGTCCATTCGACCTCCCAGTTCAGCCGTCCTGCTCGCGGCCTCTTGGCCACCCGCCCCGCGACCAGAAGTCGGCACCACCAGGCGAGCGGAGGCAGAGGCAGAGGCAGGCAATGCAGATTGCGAGCGCAGACGGGTGGACGACGCGGCGCGAAGGGGGAAGGAGGAGGAGGAGGATGAGGCGGAGGAGGAGAAGAAGGAGGAGGAGGAGAAGGAGGCAGAGGAGGCGGAGGAGGAGGAGGAGGAGGAGGAGGAGGAGGAGGAGGAGGAGGAGGAGGCGGGGGCGGAGGAGAGGGGGGAGGGAGAGAGGGAGGACGAGGGGGCTCTCGGCCACCCGCAGGTCCTCTCGATGCAGAAGCACGAGATGGACCTCCTGCAGGTCTACCGCAAGCTCCTGCCAGCCCTGGAGGCGGCGATGAAGTCCGACCCGTCGGTGGCCCAGGGCCGGCCCGATCGCGGAGTCTCCGCCTCTGCTCCTTTTTTCCCGCCCTCCCAGAGCAGAGCTTGTAGCGCCCTGACCCTCTCGAGGCCGTTTTTTCCCTGGCGACAACGGGCATGACGGGAGGGGGGGAGGGGGGGGGGGAGGAGGATCGGGCCGGGCGAAAGGGGGGGATAGCAAAGGGGGGGTTTGAGAAGCAGCTCACGTAGCTGATTTCCCCAGCGCCTCCTGGCCCCGGAGACGGCTATCGATCGAGGAATGAGCCCCTCGGTGGGCCTGAAACCAGCTGCATGCAGCAGATTTCGTACCCCCCCTTTCCCCATCCCCCCCTTTCGTCCGGCCCGAGAGGAGGGCGAAGGTTGGGTCACGCTTCGCGCCGTCGCCGTCCCAGAATGCCTCGGATTGGCGCATTCCCTCACGGCGCCGGCGCGAATCGTGACGTGACCAGGGGGGGGGAGGGGGGCGGGGCCAGTCACGGGCGTCATCGCGAATAGTGGACAATATTAATGGGTCCATCCTCGTTCCTTTCTTCTTCCTCCTTTCCTTCGCCCCGCCTCCATGATATCTTGCCGTGCTCGCGGACAGTGGCTTGGCGGCGGGCTCCGGCCACTGCATGCTCGACAGTAACGCATAGATTTCAGCTGCACGGGGGAGTGTCTGCGCAAGAGCAGAGACTGCCCTCGGCAGAGCCAGACTGGGTCGCTGCGCTGGCGTGCAGGAGACCCAGTAGCCATTTGCCGTTGGCCGCTCCTCCCCGATGCTGCCCCGGTGGGTCTGCGGGGTGTCGGCGAGAGGTGTGCGTGACGCAGTGGGTGACTGTCGGTCATGACGACCACAGCCATCCCCCACCCCCAACGGGGCAGGGTAAGTTGGCCCTCCCGTCGTACCCCCTCTGGGTGGGAATGGGCGCCCCGATGCCCGAGGGAGATCCCCACCGGGAGGGGGTGCAGGCTGCCCAGCGGGGCCAAGGTTTCCCTGGTGGGGGCGTGGATTGTTTTTTTTGTCCAGATCATGGTTATGAACGGCATGCCTCTCGCACCGCATCGCCAGGCCTCCACCTCGACTGGCCATTGGCGGCCTCCACGTCGGCGGACCTCCGTTAGCCTCCGTTTCGGCCGCTGCTCCTGGTTGGAAACCTTAATTATCAGAACAGGGCAGGTATGGTCCCCCTCACGTGTCTGGGCGCGGCACCTGTTTTACGAGCACGTTCTTCTATACGTCTGGGGTGGGGGACGTCGCAACCTTTGTTGGGTAAGGGCGGACTGGGGGGAATACGCTTGTCTTTCCCTTCGTTCCCGTTGCCGTCCCGCCCTGCATGCACATGCCTTCCTCTTCACCCTCCGCCCTGTTCCCCCCCTCGACCTACCTCACCCCCCATCCATCATCATGCACCCCTCCGCTTTTCGCCTCGCTCCTTCCTCCTGTTCCCACCGTCCCTCGTTTTCTTTCCTCGCTGCCTCTGTACACCTACCCATATCCTCCATGCATCCATGCATCATGTCCTCCCTCTTGTCTCCCCCTCCCCCATCCCTCGCTCGCTCCCTTCCTCGTCCCCATCCTCACCGCGCTCCTCCCTCCGTTGCGCCCTCGTCCATCTCATCCTGCCCCCCCTCGCTGCATCTGGTCTTTCTCCATGCCGTCCCCTGCTCCCACTCGCGAGCTCGACCCCTCCCTCCCTCATACTGCTCCTCCTGCTCTGGGGCAGCCGCGGAGAGACGTAGCCTCCCCGCAGTTGCGGACAACCGCGATAGGCGATAGATGCGAATATCCCCCAGTGGTTGGGAACAAAGGATCTGCTTCAGATCTTTAAACCCCCCTCCCGCCAATAGTTGGGACCTCATTGACGGATTTAGGCGTGACTGCTGCGTCCTGACAGTTCCTGAACCGTGCTTGAACACCAGCCCTGGGACTTCCACACCCCGGATCGAAGTGCCTGTCGCGTCCTGACAGTCCTAAACCGTGCCAGAACATCCCCAGGCTTTCAACCCTCGAAGTCTTGAAGCCTTTGCAAACTTTGAGACGAATTTTCGCGGTGCTACGGCGAGAGCCACATTTCGAAAACTAGCCGCTTTGCATCCTTGTAGCTGCTGGTCACTTTCAAAACCAAGGTGCGTGGCGCGAATGCGAGAGCCATATTTTGAAAACTAGTTGGTTTCCATTGTATTGATTGTTGCATATTTTCAGTTTCAGGGTCATACATGGTGAGAAAGTATTAAGCGAAACGCCCGTCCCGCCCGACACGTCCAGGGGTGCGATAGGGAGGGGTTGTCTCCAATGGACCGGGACCGAGGTGGATGGTGAGGCGGAGGATGGAACGCCAAATCTCACAATGATTCCGAATCGAGCCTTGTTAAATGTGGGTAGCGTCCAGTCCCCGGTGGCATCGGCTCGCCGAGGCTGGCCATGGCGCCGGCTCTCGCCAGCCTGGTCAGGGCCGCGGCGGACTTCAACTACGCCCAGCGGCTCCTAGGCCTGTAGCTCCGCCTGGATGGGGCGGGGAGGGAGGGAGGAGGACGAAGAGACGAACTCCTTGGGTGGTTCCTCCCTCCGCCCTCTTGTCGCCTCCCGCCGTTCTTGCTAGTTCCCCTCCCACTCCCCCGTCCCGCTGGGAAGGGGTTGGCTGCGCCCGTCATCGTGGTGCCGAAGCCGTCAGATCGCAGCGCAGAAGGGGGTGGCAGGCGGGCACGCAGGCAGGCAGCAGGTGGTGGAGGAGGCAGACAGGCAGGCAGGTGGCGATGGAAGCCCCGGGTGTCGGCCCTCTCAGAGTTCGGCGGGGGCGCCGTGACTGCTACAGCGTGTCCAACGATTTTGGACATGGAGCATTACGCAAACGAAAAAGGTGCACCTTGCCTCACACGCGACGGCGCGATACTACCCATCACCTCGGCCATAGTTTGTGCAAGTTGAACATCGATTCCAAAAACTCGTCAGTGTTGCTCAGCGGGCCCCTGGTCCCATTACCATTATGAGCTGCGTCGCATACTCTCAACCGAAGCCAGTAACGATGTATGAGCCCATAGCGCTGCTCAACGTCATCCCTTGATAAGCTTGTGTTATCTGGATTCGGGATTGTTGATTTGCTTTTGCAACGTGGCTTCCACATGTTTCCAAAACTGAACCTATGTTCCGTGTTTAGTCGTTAGCACCGATGAGCTATCCGATATTTGTTCAATGTCTAGCTTTTACACCTTCGATTGGGGCCTCCGGTTCCTTGATCAGTGTTCATCTTCACTAAATACGCCACTTGCCTCACATTAAGGGGCACCATCTCGACTCAACAACGTTGAGCGTTTGGCATGCGAGCTGTCTGCTCTACGATTTTTTTCGCACGGACAACCTTGTGAGTTGTGACGAGTTTCTCGACGGACTCAAATATGGATGTTTCAACATACCTAGTTGCCCCTTGCATTGCTACCATCGTCTCCACTGGGCTGAGAGTATTGGCTGGCATGGCCTCCTGCGAGCAAAGTGTGGCAATCGATGCCACCCAGAAGGCGAGTCATATCCAACTTGCCAGTCCATACATATCGCGTCAAGTTTTTCTATGATCATGTTGCTAAGCTTCTGCATGTATGCTGTCCCGGGTCCGGTCACTATTGCAATTGCCTTTCCAAATAAGTGCATTCAAAGCTTCATTACATGATTCGAAGATGAGTTTTTTTTTGTTGACTGATGGGGCTTAGCCTCACTTGCTTGGGGTTGGGCCTCACTTGGGACCTTGAGCCATGTGCACCTTGAGCCAATGTGGTGGTGGAGGAGGAGGGGGATCAGGAGAAGGAGGAGAAACGGGCAGAAGGAGCAGCGGCAGGAGGTGACGGGAGAGGAGCTGGAGGCTCTTTGTTTTTACAAGCGCAAAGGGGGCCCTGTGGCGAAGAACCAGGCAGGAGGGGAGAGGGAGGGAGGAGAGGGCGGGCAGCCGCTGCACCGAATTAGCTCGGCGCCTCAGGCGCACCCGCCCGCCCGCGCGGCCAGGCGGGCGCGCAACGCCTCCCGCCGAGCGCCCTCGCCGCCCCCGGCCCGCGCCGGCGGCAGCAGGAGCAGCGCGTCCACGCGCGGCGGCAAGGCGGGCGCCCAGCCTGCGCATGGGCGAGCAGCCAGGGCCCCCCACCCCGGCGCCGTGCAGCCGCACTGCGGGCAGGCTACCCAGCCTGGCCCTTGCGAAGCGGCGTGGGCCCTCCAGGATCGCCCGCCGAAGAGCGCCTGGGCGGCCGACGCCGCGGGCTGCCGCGGTGGGTGCCGCAGGGGCTGCGGGGCCTGCGGCGCTGCTGGCGGCGCCTGCAGCGGCGGCCCGCCGCCGGCAGCCGCTGGGCGTCGCTGGCCTGCGGTGCGCCGGACGGCTGCCCATCGGCGCCGCACCCGGGGCCCGCCTGGCGCGGTGCAGTCGTGGTTGGCCTCGAGGGCCGCCAGCTCCACCGCCGCCAGAGCTCGCTGGACGCCCTCCAGCGCCTGCAGCTGCCGCTCGCGCAAGGCCGGGGCGGGCAGGCGCGCCCGCGCGGCCGCGCCAGCCAGTTTGTCGGCCGCCGCGTTGCCAGCGTGGTCCTCCTCGTCCAAGTGGCCCTTGACCCAGGGGGCCCTCAGCCAGTCGGCCCGGCAGTAAGGTGCCAGCTTGTCCCAGAGGTCGGCGTGCGACCACTCCATGGGCGTTGCCCCGCCCTGGAGCGCCGCCACGCCGTTGCTCACGTACTTCGAATCCGTGATGACCTCCACCGGCCCACCGGCCAGCGCCTGCAGGGCAGCCAAGAGCTCGGCGCGCTGCGCGGTCTGCTCGCCATCGACCGGCCCCCCGCGCTCCAGCGTCGTGCCAGCAGGGTGCTCCACGCGTGCCCCCCAGCCAGCCCTGGCCAGCAGAGGGTCGGCCAGGTGCACGCAATCGCCGTCGGTCCACGCCCGCACCCGTGGGCCCGCGACCCCCGCAGCAACGGCGGCCAAGCCGGGCAGCGCCGGCATTGGGAGCGGCCACATCGCCTGGTCGGCAAGAACCGCCAAGCGCACGTCCCGCGGCAGGACTCCCGTCAGTGCCGCCTCAGGCGGCAGGCAAGCCCGCGCCGCCTCGGGGGTGAGCCCTATGGCCGCGAAGGCGGCGCGTCGCGCTGAGTCCCAGCGCGGGCAATCCCAGAAACGGTGTTGGGCGTCCTCCAGCGGCGCGCCGCAGTGCGGGCAGCCCGCCGGGCGGCCCCCATTTCGAAGCCACACTCTTTGTGACCACGTTGCCAGACAGCACCGTGCGCAGCGCGCCCGCGGCGTCAGCGGCGAGCCGCCCGTGCTGCAGGACCCGCCGGGTGGCCCAGCGGTCGACGCCAGCCGCCCCGTGCCCGAAAGTGGCCCGGCGCCCTGCCAGCTCCCGGGCCTCTTTGCGAGCCAAAGCCTCCAGCAGCACCCGCCTCGTCGCCTGCAGGCCGCGCTCCTCTGGCCGCCAGCCAGCGGGCGCCTCTGGCACGCCAGCCCAAGTTTCAATGTCGGCCCCCAACTGAAGCTCGGCCGTGCTCCAGGCCGCCGCCGCCGGCCCGAAGCCGCGGCCGTGCCCGGCCGCCATGGCCCCCGCGGCCTCCCGCCAGAGGGCGGCGGGGAAGCGGCCGCGGCGCATGGCCTTGGCCGCCTGCCACAGAGGCGCCAGGGTCACGACGGCCAGCGGGTCAAGCCGCCAGCCTGGGCTCAGGACACCGAAGACGATCTTTGCGGAAGCCCGGAGGCCGCCGCGGCAAGCCTCATGCCGCGCAGCCGTGCGCAGGGCAGCGAGCTCCCTCCCGGGGGGGCGCCCGCGGGCCGCCCGCACGCCGCCCCGTAGAAGCCAGCTGCGGTGTCGGCCGCCGCCTCCAGCATGCAGCGGTGGCCGAAGGCCACCGGCAGGCGGCCGATCCTGGCACAACGGACCGCGGCGGCGCGGAGCCGGGCCGCCACCACCGCACAGCGCCGGGCAGGGCCGGCGCCCGCCGCGACTCCCAAGTCGCGGAATCCGGGCCGCGCTGCCAGCCGTTGGCGACCTGTTTGCTCTTCCCTCGGTTGAGGCTCCAATCCATCGCTGTCTCGAAAGCGTCCGTGACCCTCTCAGAGCGCCCGCCACCACATCGGCAGCATCCGCGGCGTCAGCGAAGGCAACGCGCATCCAAAGGGTGAAGTCGTCCACATGCATCCGACGGCGCAAGCGGCTGTCGACCCGGCCGACCTTGCAGCTCCACGGCCAAGTCAGGATGCTCAGGACGAACACCGCCAGCGGGCAGCAGCCCGCAAGAGGGAACCCACGCATCCCCGATCGCGCGGCCCACGCGGAGGCGGCGGCGCGCCCGGTAAGCCCCCATCGCCGGCTCGACGATCCAGGCGGGCACGCCCGCTCGCGCAAGGAGGCCAGGGAGGGATGACAGGTCGACCCCGTCGTAAGCCTTCCGCCATTCAAGCGCCGCCCCCGCCACGCACTCGGACAGCGCCTCGGCGGCCTCCAACTCGAGGGCCAACTCCCACGCCAGCTCTTCCGCTCCTAACCACATGTCCTCGCCGGCCCACTGCAGCCGCCAGCGGGCAAACAACTGTGCCTTGCCTGCGGACCATAGCCGATAGAGGATGGGGAGCAGCCACATCGGCCGGCGATCCAGTGGGCTCTCCATGCTGCCCCCAGGCTTGGGCAGGAGTGGCCCCTCAGGCTCCACGAGCTCGCTCGGCCACGCCTCCCTGGCCTCCACAGCTTCGAACAAATCGGCGACCCAGCTGTGGAACGCCTCCGGGAGGAGCCGGAGCTCGCTGATGGTCCAGGCGTCTAGGCCCGGCTTTTTCCTCCTGGGCATCTTGCGGAGCAGAGCTTCAACCGCGGCTGCCGTCCATGGCGTTCGCTCTGGGAAGGGAGGGAGGAAGGGAGGGAAGGGAGCGGGAGACACACAGCATGCGGAGGGCCTTTCCTCTCGACGTTTTGTGCCCGATGTCTGTCGGAGCATAGGCTCGTCCTCTATTGGCTGCTTCTCAATAACCCCCTCGCTCAGCCCCAGCTGCGTCGGAGGGGCGAGCAGGATCCTCCCCCCTACCGCTGGGCCACGTGAGGGAGCGACGCGCGCCACACCCTGACCAGTCACCCCCGAGCTTCGTTCCAGTTTGCAGTGGGTTGGGGGTGGGGTGGGGTGGATATTCGGACCTGGGCAGTCGTGACGCGGAGGGCTCTGGGGGGGAGGGGATACTGGGTTGGGTTGAAGCCATCTCGGATTGTTGATGATTGACAGGGTGACGTCTTGCCTAGCTTCTGTTAGTTTGGATCACAGCAGACAGTATGACCCTGGTTGGTGAAATCGGATTTACCATCTCACCATCACGTGACTATCTATTCGCTCCTTGAGTTGCAAGATCACGCCGCAGCGAGGACACCAACCGGATACGTCAATCGACTCATTTTCACGTAGATCGGGGCGCAGGCTGTGGCGGAAGAGGGAGGTTCGTGGAGGAGGTGAGCGTGGCAGTCAGGGTAGCGGAGGGGCATGTAGGCGGAGGAAGGGGAAGGAGGGCGATTTGGCCTTGATCCCGTCTTCGTCCTTGTCTGCCTTCTTGGAGCAGAATCTCGTGCTGGCCTGCGGCTTCGTCGTGCTGTGCCTCTGCTCCTCTCCCGTGCGGTGGCAAGGGTGGTGGGCACTCGTGTGGTCCAGTGCGCCATACCGCGGGCGGCGTTTCTGATTTGCTGTCTGTCGCGTGTCACCGACAACGTGCCGACATTGCAAACAGAAACACCAGGAAGGGAAAGGAGGGTAAAAGGGGAACATTCGAGCGGCACATGGGCTAGCTCCGTGGGACTGCGGCGCCGTGGGGTTGAAGCATGCCTCTCACGACAATAGCTCCGTCGTGGCGCGGTATCGCAGGCATCTACGCGAAATCAGCCAGCCTCTCTTCCCTTTCCCTCCGCTCTCCTTTCACGGCGGGTCACCGCCACCACAGGGCCTGGGCGCAGGGACTGGGCTCCGATGGGGGAATTCGTGTCCCCACTTTCGGCCCAACTAGGGCCCCAGAGGGCCCCCCATCGGGCCACGATCGGGGGAATTGTCTTCCCCGCCGTCTTCCTCTTGGCAGATCGGCTGGGTTGGCCCCTGGAGGCGCCAGTTTGCGCGAAAGGCCAGAGCCCTTTGCACGATGGTGCATCACAGGATGAGCATGCCCCACTGCGAGGCACCGCCGTGAAGCACGCCAACAGCGACCACGAGCCCGTAAGGCGGGTGGTCGCTGAGGCCTTGCAGGAGACGGTGAAAGCCGACCAACGCCTGGACGCATCGCGGGAGGCATGGGGGGGGAGTTTGTTTGTGAGGTTGCTAAGTGGAGCGAGGCAGGACCATCTGCGACGGTAAATCACAGGAAGGCCAGCTGAGACAACGGTAGTTGGCTTTCGGGGGGGCCCTCGTCGCCACGGTTGGACGTAGCTCCGGGAGTTGGTGCGTTTGGACCCCGCAAGGGGTTTTGGAGCCCATTTTGAGTTGCCAGTGTCTCAACTCGCCTTGCTCCGAGTAAAGTTGTGCATTGCGCATCGTCATGAATCCTGTCTGCTTTCATCATCGCTACCGCTCCATTATCCTGTCGCCCTCCCTTCCTGCACTTATCACAGTTGGTTTCTGCCTGGCCCCGTCCTCCTCCGCTTCTCTTTGTCATTATCCTTTGACTTCCTGTTGCCCCGCCTCCACAACCTCCACCACACCTACGCCTTCCCCGATCCTCCTCCGTGCTCCCCCCTCCACCTGCGCATCCTCCATCTTTCTCCTCGAGGGGTGGCGAGGGTGCTATCCCTCCACAAAGCACTATCTCTTGCAGAGGAGGCGCGGCACCCTGGCAAAGCCAAGGTCCACCATCCCCCGAGCGCAGACTCCCAGGATGAGACTCCCCCGGGAGCAGACTCCCAGGATGGAGCAGACACGGTCGACACGTAGTGCAACATGCGGCCGAATTGGAGTGGGGTTGAATGGGGATGTCTCATCTTGTTCCCTCTCTCCCTTAGTTGTCCATCACCGAGCGCCCCCCGACCCCTCCAACCTGCTCCGCAGTTTCCTATCTAAGATGAGCTCGGGACTCGCGCCTGTTCTCTCATGGTGTTCCCTCTCAACCTTCTCCTCGACCCCCTCATTCTCCGCCCTCATTGTCCCTTCTCCTCCCATTCATCCTCCTCGTCTTCATCCCCCATCCTTCCCCCCACGACCTCACCCATCTTCGTCGTCGTCTTCGTCTTCGTCCTTCCTGCCCCCTCGAATTATCCTCGTCTTCCTCCTTCTTCCTCGTCGCTGCTCCTCCTTCTTTGTCCTTTCTCATTCTCGCCTTCTCCACACGTATTCCGTCTTCATTCCTCCCCCTCCTCCCCCTCCTTGCGCTTCCCCCCTCCTGCATCATCATATTTTTTCCCTCGTCCGTCTCCTGCTCCTCCTCGCTCCACGTTCTCCTCCTCGCTCTCCCTCTCTCCTCTCCTCTCTGTGTCCCCCTTCTCGTCCCCCTTCCTCTCTCCTCCCTCACTCTGCCCTCGCTCCTCCCTCACGCCTACCTCCTCCCCCCCCCCCTCCCTCACTCCTCCCTCACATTCCTCCTCGCCCTCCCGAGAAAGCCGAGGTCGTGACGCTGCCACGGCGTGGCTCCCTGGAGATCTGGACCCCTCCCCTGGGACCGGCTCTGCACCTCGAGCCGCTCTTTCGCGGTCCCGCGGCCTGGTGAGGGCCCACGTGGCCAGCACGGCAGTTGTCCTCGCGCCGCGCTTTGCTGTTGTTCACGACGCGATGAGGTTTGGCGCCTGGCTCACAAAAATAGGCCCTCCGGCGGCCGCTCGGGACGAGTAGGGCGAGGCGCAGCTGTTGGAACGCGTCCCAAGGCCAGAAAACACCACACAGCTCTCGAGACCTCCACCTCCGCTGTGGGTAGAGCACAGTCAGCGCAGAATCATAAGGGGTGGGTGGGAGTGGTCAGATTTCAGATTTGGCGCGAGCGCCCTTCTACAGTTGCCCAACATGAATACTGCCCTCTTCTCTCTAATGAAGATGGCTGGAGAGGGCCCGCCTCCCCTCCGCGTACCGATATCATTCACACCGGATTTCACACGTGTTTATTGTGTATGTATGTTTGTGTTTGCGATCGAGCTCGGCTCTTCAAAGTGGTGCTGCCGCTGCAGCGTGGGCCTCATTTGCGTATGGCCGCGTTGCATCCGTCGTTCATCGTGGCAATCTTGTTTGGAATGCCACGTCCGTCATGACACGCGTCGGCGGATAGAGAAACAACCAGCTCACAGTTTTACATTATGCAAACTACTCTCCTCTCTCCCCAGACTCCGTCCAGAAGATAGCTGCTTCTCTCCGCGTGTCGCCCAGTCACACCCAGGATGTGACACCCAGGAAACTATGTTGCAACCCGCTTGCTTTCGTGCTTCAAAATAGTGTCCCCGCTGCAGCATGGGCAGTTTTATTCGGATCGGCTCGCTGCCACCAACGTTAAGATTGGCGCTCCCGCCCCAGCGCGGGCCCTGGACTCGGGTCCTCTTATGTTCGTTGTTGCCCCCCTCCCGTCCCTCCGCCGACTCCCCCTGGGCCTCCTGCTTCTCCCGCTCCTTCCACTCGAGTTCGTCCTCGTCTTCCCCTTGCCGCGTCCTCCTCCTTGTCCTCCTGCCCATCCTCCTGCTCACCCGCCAACTCCTCCTAAGTACGCACCTCCCCCTTGTCCGATTGCACGCAACACGATGGTGTCCTGCTGTTGGAGTTCCAGGTCGGCTCTGAAACGAGTCCCGGGATAGAGAAACGACTAGCGCAGGGGGAAGGGGAAGGAAAGGGAGGGAGGGATCAGATGCCAGATGCGGCGCGACTGCACCTGAAGCTTGCCTCTCTCCCTTCTGCCCCCGCCCCCTCCCCGCCTCGGGGATGGGAGGGGCCGCTCGCCTCTCCCGCCCTCCCCCCCCTCCTGCCCTCCCAGAGGGCCCCCGCGCAGGTGGTGCTCGCCGTCGGGCGGCTGGCCCAGGGGGTGTCGGCCTCCGCGGGCAGGCCCGGCCGCAGGGCGGGCGGCGCGGCGGGGGACGACCCGAGCGGCAGCCAGAGGTGCGGCCCTCGGCCTCCTCCTCCTCCTCCTCCTCCTCCTCCTCCTCCTCCTCCTCCTCCTCCTCTCCTCCTCCTCCTCCTCCTCCTCCTCTCCTCCTCCTCCTCCTCCTCCTCCTCCTCCTCCTCCTCCTCCTCCCCTCCTCCATCCTCCTCCTCCATCTCCTCCTCCTCCTCCTCCTCCTCCTCCTCCTCCTCCTCCACCTCCTCCCTCCTCCTCCATCCTCCTCCTCCTCCTCCTCCTCCTCCTCCTCCTCCTCCATCCTCCATCCTCCATCCTCCTCCATCCTCCTCCATCCTCCTCCTCCATCCTCCTCCTCCTCCTCCTCCTCCTCCTCCTCCTTCTCCTCTTCCTCCTCCTCCCTCTTCCTCCTCCGCCTCCATCCTCCTCTATCCTCCCTCCTCGCCCCTGCCCCTCCTCGCCCTCCTCCTTGCTCTACGTGTGATCAGTTCGGGCCTTTCTCTTCCTCCTCTCCTTCCATTCTGATGTCAATCCTCCTCCGCCGCCTCCCCCCGGTGCAGGAGGAGGACAGCAAGACTCCTGCAGTGGAGGAGGACGGAGGAGCACGGAGGGCGGAGGGCATGCGGAGGACGAGCGACGAGGGCGGGGGAGAGCGGGGGCATGGGGGAGTGGGGGAGGGGGAGCTGGGAGGGATGTGGGCAGGGCAGACAAGGGGATGGGGAGCCGCTGGGGGGCGGGGGGAGGTGGGGAGGGGGGATGTGAGACCGTCGGGCGACGGAGGGGCGTGGAGCAGGGAGCGGGGATTGGATCCCCCCCCCCTCCACTCTCGCCCCGCGTTGCCCCCTGGCCCTCTTCACTGCCCTCCCTTCGGCCCCCAGCCTTCCGTCCATCATTCTAGTCCCCGTCTTCCTGTTCCTTCTTTTCCTCATGCGTCTCTTTGCTCTTCATGTGTCCTCCTTCATTGCGTGTGTGTGTGTGTGTGTGTGTCATCATCCCTCGTTTTCTCCCTCCTCGTGATCACCCTTACGAGTCACATCGTCTGAGGTGTATTACCCGCTCTTTCCGTTCGGGGTCCCAGATCTGTCTTGGCATGTTTGCAGTGTTTGTGGTTCGTGTTCCCAGATGCGTCCTTGGAGACAGCTTGACTGTCATAGGCGCTAACCGCAACGGCGGTCTCGCACCACGTGAGCTCCGTGCTCTTCCTTCAGTGCTTCCGTCCACGGGCTCAAAGGAGGACCACTCCTCCGCGGCGGGCCTGCCCCCCCCCCCCCCCCAAAGAGGCATTTCGTCTCCTCTGGATTGGTCGCCTCCCTTTCTCTGCGGACGAAAGCAACAACTCCTCCATTGTAATCGACTGAGCCTCCTCCTTCACAGATTATTCGTCCTACGCTTCGTGATCCTCCCCCTCGTCCGTTCTGAGGAAGGTGTTGGACTCGCTCAGGGCGACTGTGAAGGAGCTGTCCTCCTAGCAGGCCCGCCCCACGAAACATTTGTTTGGCGATGGCACCTCTCGACGATCCGTCTGGCCGTTTGTATCGGCTGGCTTGGACATACGCTGTTCCGACGATGCCCTCCTTCATGTCCTCGTCTTCTTCTGGACTGAGGCATCGTTCGCACGCAGCGTGGCCTTCCGGCCGTCGCGAGAGCATATTGAGCACCCCCGCTGATGAATGCAATCCTCGTCATTATCTTCGTCATCACTGTTCCTGTTCACCCACGGCCGCTGGGCTCGTGCGCCCACTTTGACCTCACATGCCTCGTCATGGCGGTGGTGGCTGCGCGTTCTAGATGGGGTCCTTGGTGCAAGTGGGAGGCATCGCGGATGTAGACAGTTGGTCCTAACGTCGATCCGAAACCAAGTCAGGTCAAGCTTGTTGCTGCTCCTTGCTTCTGGTTCTGTTCAACTGCATCCTACGAAGATACATGAATTTCTCGCTGTCCGTCGGCGGCTCCGTTCTGGCGTGCACTGGCTCGCTGGCCATCGGTTGGGCCAGCTCGAGTCGGCGTGCGTTCTCCTGGCGCGCCGCCTGGCGTTGGTCGTCATGTTTGTCCGAGCTGCGATTCAGGCAGTGCTGTTTCGGGACGTGGTGTCAGGTTTCGGGAGCTGGGGATCCATGGTCAGCCTTGTCGGTGGGAAGATGGGCCAGGAACAGGCATCCGCTTACGACAGCTTTGTTGTTGTTCCTTGTGGCCGCTGGGAGTTCCGACGAGACGTGGCTTTCTGACGGGCTCGGAGGCAGAGCTGGTCATGTCCGGGCACGCATCCGTGCATTCGAGGGTGGGCGCTGTGTTGGTCAGGGCACTGGGGGGCGAGCTCGTCACTCCACCCGACTTCCAATCCACTGCAATGCCTACTTCCAATCCCGCAGTCAAGCCAAACCCCTGTCAACCCGTTGACAATACACTTGCAGTGAGTCGTTTCACAATGGGCTGGCAGTGGGGTGTCTGTTCGTCTATCGCAGTTCGTTGCCCTGCAGCGTCAATTCGCCTCACCCTCTTCCGCTCCCAGGCTTGCCACTGCGAATCTACTGCCAAACCACTGCCAGCCAGCTGCTGTCCCTGATGCCAACACACTGCCGCTCCGACGACGGTCAATGAGTTGGCACTGTGCTGGAAGTGGGGTTTTTACCAGTTTGAAACATACCCCTATCCCTATGTTTGACATCACCTCACCTCGATGCCGATCTTAAGGATTCCATCAGTTTCTGAGGGCCTATCCCTGAGATTGTCCTCGCTTTTTGCTCGCCCATCTTAGGGATAGGGATAAGGTCGAGGCTGGTTAGGGTTGGCAGGGGGGGGCACCTGTGGTGGAACCAGGGCGTGTCCGCAGTGAGGATTCTCTTCGGGTCGTCGGTGGGCCCTGCGCGGGCTGTCCGTGGGCCTCCCTCGTCGGGACCACATCGCGGTTGACAGTGAGCTGTGAGGAGGAGGAGGAGGAGGAGGAGGAGGAGGAGGAGGAGAAGGAGGAGGAGGAGGAGGAGGAGGGGGAGGAGGGGGAGGAGGAGGAGGAGGAGGAGAGGAGGAGAGGAGGAGGGGAGGAGGAGGAGGAGAAGGGGGAGGTGGAGGAGGAGGAGGAGGAGGAGGAGGAGGAGGAGGAGGAGGAGGAGGAGGAGGGAGGAGGAGGAGGAGGAGGAGGAGGAGGAGGGGAGGAGGAAAGGGAGGAGGAAAAGGGAGGAGGAAAGGGGAGGAGGAAAGGGAGGAGGAGGAGGAGGAGGAGGGGAGGAGGAGGGGAGGAGGAGGAGGAGGAGGAGGAGGGGGAGGGGGAGAGAGGAGGAGGAGGAGGAGGAGGAGGAGTGAGTGGGCCCTGGGCGGGTTGGCAGTGGGTTTTCCACTGTGTTGGCAGTGGGGCCATCTGGTGGCCCTCTTGGGGCAGTGGAATTGCTCTGCCCTCCTCCCTCTAGCTCGCCTCCTCCTTCGTCCCTTCTCCATTCCTCCCTCCCCTCCTACCATTCCCCTCCCCCCACCGTCCCCTCTCTCCTACCCGTCTCCGTGGGCCTCCGACGTTACCATCTTTTCACAACGCATGTCTCCACCTGCTCCCCAGCGCCGGCTTCACATCCCGAGTCGTGTCTGGACGGTTTCGGGGTCCGGGGATGGCCCCGAGGAGGCCGAGAGATTGGGCAGAAAACTCCCTTTCTGATATCCTGCACGACGTGAGGAGTCTGGGTCGGGGGGTCAAAAGCCGACCCTCGCGGACCTCTTGGGGCGCGTTTTGGTCCAAATTTCGAGCTGGAGTCCAGCCGTGGCGACGAGGGCGTTCCGGGAGGGCCTGAAAGGCCCCAGCACCTCGACTCTCGAGCCTCGGTGCCCGAATCTTGCTTAGGGGATGCACATCCTGGGAGGTTGAATTCAGCATTCAGGAGAATCGACGGTCGATGGGGGTAGCGTTCGGAGGTCGCCACCTACGGAGAGCCCTCTTGGCCGCAGGTACACGGGCCTGCGGAGGGAGCTGCTGGCCGTGCTGCTGCACCTGCCTGTCGGGCGCGCAGAAGCGGCGCAGCTACGCGGGCACAGCGACATCATGGACGACGTCGCCGAGGATGGGGCGGACCTGGGAAGAGGAGAGAAGGGGGGACTTTGGCTCACCCCCGAGAATTGAGGCTCACCCACGGTGGTGTCCTCCGGCTCCTTGGAGTCTGATGTACAGTTGCGTCCGGTGGGGGGGGTTCGAAGAAGAAGATTGGTTGAATCTTCGCTGGGCCCCCGTGGCAGCGCCTCCAGCGCCAGCCCTGGCGCGTTCCTTGCCCCAGGGCCGGCGCCGGAAATCCAAGAAATCTGCGCGGAGTTCGAAAAGAACATGTTCATGCGTGTGTTTCGTCATCTGCATCTCGCGGCCTGCGTCCTGGCCCAGCAGGCGTTCGTGCTGCTCTGCTGGGCACATGGCCCAGGTTTCCCCTGACCTCGAGCCGTGACGGGGCTGGGCTTTGGCCGTTTTCGCTCGGGCGGTTCTTGCTGGGTCCAGGGGCCGACAGGAAACGGATCGGAATGGGAAGCCAGTCTCACATAAGGGTTTCAAGATATTTGGGGAGCCACGTTGCGAAACACATGCGACGTCGAATGCTGGGTAGCCAGACATCCGTCGCCGAGAATAATCGAGGTGGCCAGTTTGCCTCCAGTTTTGGTTTCTGGAGGTTGGTTTCGGATTTCTGTCTTTTCTCGAGATGAAGAACCATCCCTGGGGAAGTGATGGAGAGGTCCAGGGACCCCCGCATCGAACACATCGAAGCGCCGGATGGAGGGTGGAGGAGGAGGAGGAGGAGGAGGAGGAGGAGGAGGAGGGAGTTTGTGTCAGCAGTTTCCATTGTTATCTGTTTTCATTGTTTGCTGCGGAGCAGGGATGGGAATGAGGAGAGGAAGTGGAGGAGGAGGATGAGGAGGATGAGCAGGAATGATGGGCCTGCGAATCGGAGGAGGAGAAGGAAGAGGAAAAAGAGGAAGAGGAGGAGGAAAAACAGGAGGAGGAAGAACTGGAGAAGGAGGGGGAGAAGAGTTGGGGAGGATAAACAGGTGGAGGAGTAGGAGGAGGGCGGATAAGAGAGGAGTGAGGAGGAGGGGAAGGAGGAGAACTTCGACGACGACGAAGACGACGAAGTGGAGAGGGGAGGACGATGGCATGAGGGATGTTGTGGATGATGAGGAGGAGGATGCAGTGGAGGAGCGAAGCGTGCAGGGATAAACTGTGGCAGGGACCAGGAGGAAGTGAGCAGGAGCAGAAGGCATCCGGTCCCGCGGCTACACGCTGTATCAGGACACATCCCAGCACAGGTCGTGTTGTTCCACTGCCCGTGGCACGGCAGCGTGTCATCACACATATCACGCGGCTCCTCTGGAGGGTTCCAGAGGTCCTTGGAGGGAGGATATGGAGGAGCAGAAACAGGAAGAGAAGGAGGAATTATGTCGTTAATCTTCTTTGTCCACCTGTCCCACCTCCCGCAGGCAAAGGCTCCACTCGGTATTCTGACCCAGGCCGCAGCCGCTGTGCTGTCAGCCGTGCACGACCTGGTGTACGTGGTGTACAGGTGCTAGTCCGAGTCAGGGAGCCGAGCGGTCATTCACTGTCCCTGGGCACGTGGCTGAAGTGAGGTTCCGCGGTGCGGATTGTTGCTGTTGCGTTGTTTGCTGTTGCGTTGTTCGCTGTTTGTTGTTCTCCAACCCGCGACCCGGCCCGCGACCCACCCGCGACCCACCCGCGACCCACCCCGCGACCCACCCGCGACCCACGCGCGACCCACCCCGCGACCCACCTCGCGACCCACCCCGCGACCCGCCCGCGACCCACCCGCGATCCACCCGCGGTCACCCCGCGACCTTCCCCGCGACCCGCCCGCGCCCCCCCCGACCAACCCCGCGACCCACCCGCGACTCACCCACGAGCCACCCGCGACCCGCCCGCGACCCACCCCGCGACCCACCCCGCGACCCGCTCGCGACCCATCCGCGACTCACCCCCGCGACCCCCCCCGCGACCCACCCGCGACCCACCCGCGATCCACCCGCGACCCACCCCGCGGATCCACCCGCGATCCACCCCCCCGCGACTCACCCGCGACCCCCCCCCTCAACCCCCCCCGCGGGGTACTCGCGACCCACCCGCGACCTACCCGCGATCCACCCGCGACCCACCCACATTGATTTAACAAAACTCGGCGCTTGCAGCGGGCTCGTTGTATGATCTGTAAAAGCTAGCGCCTGCGGCAGGATTCTTTACGTTAAGCCTCGAAAATTGCCAACGTCCCCGCCGCCCCTTCATTCTTTTCCACTAATCCGCAACTGCGGGGGGCTACTATGCGTGCCGAAAGTCCGTCCAATGGCGAATCAAGAGGATGTCTCAGCAGAAATTAGCGTTTTTGGTTCAGATGGGGGGCTGGACTACGCGGACGGATCAAACGCACGTTTGACGAACACCAAACTCGAAGCGATGTACCAGCAGACTGGGCCAGTTTGGTTGCCGCCAGTTACCGTCGAACGCATGCGGAGCAAGGGTCCGACGGCCATAATGGATCATTGTGCAGGTAGTTGCACGTCTCGTGGAGGATGTTCCGGAGCTTATTCCATTCTTGTTATCCGTGTCGCGTCTCCGTCTAGTCACTCCCTCCTCTTCCCTTCTTCTCCATCTCACGATCAAAATCATCGCGATGCGACGGGCACAGCACTTGGGCAACACATGGGGGTGCCGCCAGGGGATAGGTCACTTAAACGGTTCGTGCCCAGATTGTGGGGATGCCTCCAGCGGTTCGTTTGTTTTACGGATGTAGGCGCGTCTTTTTCAGGACCGCGTGATGTTTGCGATGTCGCAACCATCGCCCTTGGGCGCCACAAGGGGGAGCGACCACGGGGTAGGACACTTGCCTGGTGGCGCCCAGCATTCGAGGATATCTCACGCGAGACGCTGGCTTTTCGAGGTGGGCGTGCTTTTTTTCAGGCCGCCACAAAGAAAGCGAATACTTGGGTACCCCAGAGAGGGAGGGAGGGCCCCAGAGGGTCGGACACTTGCCCGTTGGCGCCCAGACTGTGGGGACGTCCCCTGCGAACAGGTGGCTTACGGAAGTCAATTGTGTGTTTTCAGGCCGAGGCAATCCCGGTGTAGCAGATATCACTTTTGGGCACCACAGGGGGGAGGCGCCAGGGGGTACATCACCGGTGCGTTCGCGCCCAGATTGTGGGGATTTGTCAATCGAAACGTTTGTTTTGGGAATGTCGTCGCGTCTCCTTTTAGGGCCGCGCAGGCGCCGCGACGACGTATTAGACATGCGACTTGGGCTCTACAAGGGTTCGCCGCCAGGGGGCAGGACACATGCGCGTCAGTGCCCAGATTGTAGGTATATCTCACGCGACACGCTGGTTGTTGAGAGGAAGACGTAGCTCTTTTGAGGGTTGTGTGACCTCTGCAATGTAATAGCGGGTAGGGCACTTACCCATTGGCGCCCAGTTTGTGGGGATGCCTCAAGCGGAGCTCTGGCTTTTACGATTCGATTGTGTTCATTTTTGTTCAGGGTTGCGTGGTCGTCGTGATGTAGCAGACGTGGCATACGGGGACCGCAGGGGGGGCCGATAGAGGGTACATCATGGGCGCTGTCGCGTTCATATTGCAAGGATGTCTCGGCTCACCCAGTTTCTCAAATACCCGTTCAGTGTCCGACATTCGTAGACAGCCATCGCAAGGAATCTCACGCGCTACCTGGCCAATGAAGAATAGCGTGGATGAGGAGGATCAGGAGGAGGAAGAGAAGGAGCAGGAGGAGGAGGAGGAGCTGACCGATGCATACATGGGGATCTCCCGTGACGGAACATTTGTCTTGCCGTCGCCTGTGCAGCATTCCGTTTTTGAGAGGTTCTACCTCCTCGTGCATGTGGCCTGTGCAGTTCATGCCCGTATGAGTATATTCCTCCCCCTCTCTCCGCCGTTTTTCCGCTCGTTGTTAGGGTCCTCCTTTTTCCGTTTGGTTGATTTTGGTTCTTCCGCCTTGATGAGGCCGCGCGGATTTTGTTGGTCACTTGGGCTTCTTGGCGCGCTGCTATTAGCATCGTTTCGTCCGTCTGGCCTCGTTGACGGCGGGTTGATTTGCGCTGCGTTCCAGGCGCATCTGTCGCTGCTCCAGCTCTCACTGTGCTGCGGCCGCGCTGTGGTGCGTTGCTGCGCGTTCCTTCCTTCTCCTTCTTCGCGCCTGTCCTTTCTGGCCCGCCCCCCCCCCCGCTTTTTGTCGGCGGATGGGCGTGGGATGGCGCCCCCTCTTTCCCTTCTCCAGCCTCCCCCGCGGCGGCGCCGGCAGCGCTCCGAGCCCAGTTTGGAGGTTCAAGCCAGGCATCGGCAGCCGACGGGGGAGAGAGGCCTGACGCCGCACCCTTGTCTGGTCTTTTTGCTGCTCCTTCTTTTCCTGATTCGCCCGTTCCCTGTCCTTCCTCGTCACCAACCACCCTGCCTTGCCATTCAACAGTCATGGATGCACACATTGCCCGCGCTTGGGCGCCCCGCCTGCGGGGAACTCGCAAGCGACGGCGCCGAGACTTTTGGCTGCGTGGTTGGATGGGTTGGTCGCCTTGGTCTCTGCCCCCGTCGTTGCCGAACAACGAAATACAGTTGCAAGGTGCGCGCCCTCTCCTTCAAACCTCGCGCGCAGTGCGAGGACGTCTCAACTGATGCTGTTGTGTGTGACGGTCGGGTGATAGGCTGCTCTGGTCGGCGCGGCTCTCGCCCGAATGCTCGAATGCTTGGCAGCGGGGGCCGGTTCCCCGAGTGGGCGCGCGACGTGGTGTTCGCTGGGCCTAAGGTGTTCACCAGTCCTGCAGTGCTCGCGCAGGGTATACCCATAGGAGGGTCGAACGGAGGGGAACTGGCTATGGGTATGGGTGCGAGTTGTCGGACCCTGGGGGAAGCTCCCGTTCGAGCGGGGACCCCCATCCGACAACACGCACCCATAGCCTCCTCCGTCCCCCCTATGGGTATGGGTGCGTGTTGTTCGATCGTCAGGCGGCGCGCAAGACCAACTGCCGCGCGGATCGCGCACTTTCTGGGGCCTGGGCAGCACGAGCGGCCATGCGGTTCATATGTCGCCCGCGGCCCGCGCGGTTCGCGCTGTCCGTGCGTCCCCCCCGGCCCTTTGCAGGGGGCGCCCGTGCGCTTCGCGCGGCGCGTGCGGCCTCGCTATTCCGACGCGGCCCCCCCGCCCCCTCATCCCACGCGGATCGCACGGCCCATGTGGATGATTTGGCCCTTGCGCTTCGCGCAGCTCCTGCGGTCCATCTGGCGCACGCAGCTCCCGCGCCCCACGCGCGCCGCAGTCCCCGCGCAGGCGTCGCCCCCGTTGCCATGCCCCGAGCTTTTGCGACGAGGGCGTCACCTGCACGCGGGCTAGGATCTGACTTGTGCAGCCTGTCCCCTGTCCGACTCTGTTGCCCCTCTTCTTCTTTGGCGTTTTCCGGTTTGTTGCTTGGGCCCTCCTTTCCCCGTGTGTTCTTCGTTGTTTCTCCGCCTCTCCGTGGTTGCCGCGCGGATTTGGCCGTTCGTTCGCGGTAGTCGGGGAGCGCTGCAGTTAGCAGAGGCTCGTCCGCCAGGCCTCGCCTACGGCGGGTTGGTCCGCGCTGCGCTCCAGGTGCATGGGGCGCCCCTCCACCTTGCGATGCGTGCGCTGCAGCCGCGCGGCGGTGCGTTGCAGCGCGTTCCTTCCTACTCCTCCCCTTACCTCCTGCGAGCCATTCTTTCTTGCCCCGCTCCCCAGCCGCGCTTCGCTTTCTTTTGGCGCGCGTGCGTTGGACGGCGCTTCCTCGCCCCTTCGACCCAGGCCCTGGCGGCCGGAGTGGGCGGGGAAACCTTCAATAGCATCCCTGCCTTGCGGGGGGGACAGTGTCAGTTGTTTTTCATTTTCCTAATTCTTCCCGTTCCGGTTTCCCTTCATCAGCCCCGCCACCATGTGCGCCCTCCCTCTGTCATGGCGCCCGCGACGCGAAGAAGTCTCAGGCGGCAGTGCCGTGACGTTTCGCTGTTTGGTTGGGTTTCTTGTTTGGGCGTTTGGCTGCGTGGCGGATTTGTTGGTTGATGGGGTTTCGCTCGCCCTCCTTGTTTGTTCCCCGCGCCTTCAGCCCCGGCCGCTGCTGTCGCAATCGCGCCCGGGCGTTGGACGGCGCTCCGTCTTTCCCTCCGCGCCCCTTAGTTCCAGGCTTCAGCGGCCGAAGGGGGCGGGGAGGCCTTGCATAGCGCCCTTGCCTTGCGGGGCCGATATTTTCACTTGTTCCTCGTTTTCCGGATTCTTTTCGTCCCAGCCCTTCCCTTCATTAGCCCCGCCAGTATGTGCGCCCTTCTTCTGTCATGGCGCCCGCGATGCGAAGAAGTCTCAAGCGGCAGTGCCGTGACGTTTCTCTGTTTGGTTGGGTTCGTTGTCTGGGTGTTTGGCTGCGTGGCGGATTTGTTGCTTGATCGGGTTTCGCTCGCCGTCCTAGTTTGTTCCCCGCGCCGCCCTCTCAACCCCAGCCGTTAGCGTCGCAATCGCGCCCCTTCCGCTCAGCGTAGCTTTCTTCAGCATTGCAGGACGCGCGCCTCTTCCCCCGCAGCGTGACTAGTGTAACCAATTTTTTGTTTGAGACATCCGCATTTTGCCCTCCCGCCCCCTCGCCCTTCGACGTCCTCGCGCGCATGTCATACGCGCGGCAGGTCCATTAACACCCTAACGCGCTGGCAAGCAAACCCGCTGACACTCTGACCCACTCGCACCCGACGTAGGCTCACTCACAGTATTCTCGCACGTAGTCATTCAGGTTCATTCGCCCCCACAGTAAGACATATTTTGACAAATCGTACCTTGATGCGCTCATGCGCGGCAGTAGGCTGGCTCACCGAGATGTAGCAGACGTAACAGTACGGCCCCCCCAAAGGTGCCGCCTGGGAGTGGTCGTTTGGTGGAACACACACGCACACACACACACACGCACCGATGTCGTTGACAGACGCGCGAATGTGTAGCACTCGGGCGCCCCGACGAACAACCGCCAGCGGATCGGGGGGCGAGAGGGCCGAACTTCATTGTCCTCTAGCCATGTTCGAACTGTGATTTGCATGTTATGATCACTACTGTTGTATCTGAATGCTACTGCTAGTCCTGCTGCAACAGGCTACGCTTGCGACGACGAATATGTTCATTATTGCTACTACTACGAGTATTACTACGACTACTGCTACTGCTGCTACTACTAGTACTACTACTACGACTACTACTACTACTACTACTACTACTACTACTACTACTACTACTACTACTACTACTACTACTACTACTACTACTACTACTACTACTACTACTACTACTACTACTACTACTACTACTACTACTACTACTACTACTAACTACTACTACTACTACTACTACTACTACTACTACTACTACTACTACTACTACTACTACTACTACTACTACTACTACTACTACTTACTACTTCTACTACTACTACTACTACTACTACTACTACTACTACTACTACTACTACTACTACTACTACTACTACTACTACTACTACTACTGTACTACTACTACTACTACTACTACTACTACTACTACTACTACTACTACTACTACTACTACTACTACTACTACTACTACTACTACTACTACTACTACTACTACTACTATTACTACCACTACTACTGCTTCTACCACCTACTACTGCTTCTACTACTACTATTATTACTACTACTACTACTACTACTACTACTACTACTACGGTTACACCACTGAATACACCATACGCCCATACACGGTAGGTCGTACACCCGTGCATGCGGGTTGCCACGAACACGTTAGTTTTTCATGTCGAGGACCCCTTTTTTTTATTGTTCGCAAGCAGTTCATTCTAAGCGGCATAGGGTGACGCAAACGTTTCTGATCGTCTCGTCATAGTGAGATCGGGAGACCAGCAATAGTGAGCTGAGAGACCTTTTCGGGCCTCTTGGAGGTGACAAAACAAAAATAAGGGCGGCGCAGCTGAGGACCGCCCCTCTGGAGCCCAGAACATGGCCTCGTGGGGCTCTGTTGAAAGTTGTTCGACGCTTTTGGGTTCGTTCTGGGGTACTCATGAGCCCCTCATGGGGAGGATCTCTTGGGCTTTGGAGGCATATTGACACGTCAGAGGCCCTTCGGAAGCGAAGGGGACGGCACCACGCACTGGAGCGCAGGGCTGAGCATATCGAGCGGAGGGCAGGCTGACGACGAGGTGAAGCGCAATCTGACGGAGTCCTCCATCAGCCACGGCGCCCGGCTGGGAAACACCACTTGGCGGCGCGCTCTCAGGAGGTGGTCTTGTGCTGTTCGGTTCTAGTGTTGAACTAGCAGGGCGGGAGCCACCGCGGGCGCCTCTTTCAGAAGCTGGCCAGCAAATCTCGCGACTATGGAGAAGGAGGAGCAGGAGGAGGAAATGCAGAAGGATGAGGAAGAGGAGGAGGCCGAGATAGACGTGACATGCTTGTTAGTACTAATCCCTCTTGGTCTGGGGCCGGCGGGTTACAGCCTCGTCTCTGCACACATGCCGCTCGAGGCGGTTCACCAATCTAGACAGCAGTTGGGGGCATTGGTGCCAGGGCGAGTTGTTGGCATTTGTTTCTCCGAGAGCGGACCGGCGTCTCGCTTCCATGTATTGTCGCGCGTTTTCCGCTGTGTTGGTGTCGTCGCCCTCCGTCTCGAACCCGCGTGCGTTTTAAGCCGCGTGAAGTCTGGTCCTTGTTTCGCGGAGGTTGATGGAGCCCCCTCCCTGCCCAGTTGACTACTAGCGATTTGCTTTGCTTCGGTTCTCGGCGGTGCTGCGGACGCAATGTTTGCGGGCCTGCGCTCGCTGGGTCTGGTCCCGGCTCGTTCTTCATTGCAGGGTGGTTTGCTAAAGGGGGGTTCGTTTGCACCTCCGATCATCCTCTGCACATTTCGTGTAGGCTGGCGCTCCAGGGCTTCGAACTCCCACGCATGGCACAGAAGTGGCCGAATCATTGTCAGCGGCTTGCTAGGCCCGAAGCAGTGAGAGCTCCCGGTCCCAGGTGTGGAGCATCTGCGCAAGGCCGAGGCGGAGCTCCTGTACGAGGCAGCGGGCCGCGCCAGACTTGCCCGTCATAGTCTGCCTCCCCCGCCTCGGCCGCGCCTCCCCTGGGGAGGACTGGGATAATGCTCCGAGGAGTGGGAGGAGGAGGGGGAGGAAGAGGAGGAGGAGGAGGAGGAGGAGAAGGAGGAGGAGGAGGAGGAGGAGGAGCAGAGCCAGAGGGAGAGGCAGGCCGATTGGCCTCTGCTTCGAGTTCGTGCCCCCTCGGTGGGGAGGGCCTTCGCGGTTCCGCTGCCGTTCGTTTCTCGACCGTAGCGGTGAAGCTTTTTTCCCCTCGGCCTTCTCCTGATTCTTTCTGTCGCTGGCGAGGTCTTGGTCTCTCCGGGACACGCGCTCGGCTCGTCTAGCCCCTCCATATCCAATGGGGGGAGGGGTCCAGAACAGGCGCTCCTTGGGGACAGAGGAGGTTCGACGCTGAGCGGCGGAGGGGCCCCTTCTAATTTCTCAGAGATCGCTGTTGAGCTCCGGCGGTGGAGGTAGGGTCGGGGCCAGGAAGATGTCGCGGGTCCAAAGTCCAGGCGATCGCAAACATGGATTAAGGGGCGTGGATTAGCGGCCGCATTTTGGGGAGGGCACCTCCCCCGATCCATGGATTTGGCCACCGTGCGCCAAATCCATGGATCGCTAGTCCATGTTTTCTCGCCCCCGAGAAGTATTTTGTTATTTGGTCCACCGCCAAGCGGCAAATTGCGGCCCAGACGCAGTGTAATCAGTTGTTATCAAGTTTTGTCGCCCGGGCAATTGGACGGAAGATTATACAGTAGATGCTATGTGTAGCACCCCAGTCTTGTGGATAAGAATCAGGGTGCGGGCGCGGGGTGGGTCGCGGGTGGGTCGCGGAATCCCATTTCAGCCACGTACCCAGGGACGATGAATGACCAATCGGCCCCCTCACTCTGACGTTGTCCTGTGGCGTTTATGCGAAGGCCCATGAGACAGGGCCCAGATACTTCTGTGTATATGCGCGCGGTTCCTGTTTGGGCTTAGTTGGGAGAGTTCCACCCTCACCCGCGATGCCAAGCCGGACAGGGTCATACCGAGCAGCCCCCCCCTATCTTGAATTCTCCACAGGGTGACTAGTTTGGTATAGTCGCCGCAGGACACGTATCAAAGATGAGGTCGGTGTCCAACGATACCCTTCCATCCTTGCTATGAATGGGGCGACAGAAGAAAGCGGGGTCGCCTGCGCCGACATTCGCGCGTAAGTGTTCCGCGTAAGCGCGCGCGTAAGCGTTCCGCCTGCCGCGTGACGTGTCACGCCAAGCTTACGGCCCGCGTAAGCCTCGGCGGAAGGAAGGTCGCTGTGCCATCTCGCGTGAGACCCGTTTCGGTTCGCCGTTTATATGCATACTTGGCCTTTACTCAGCAAGTTTCGATGGACGGCTCCTAAGGGCACCCTTGCGCTCGGATGCAAATTGTACGCCCAAGGGTATTTCACACTTACCCATTTGCGTCATGATGATGATCATGATGATCATGATGATCATGATGATCATGATCATCATCATGATGATGCGGATGCTGATGATGATGATGATGATGATGATGCTGATGATGATGATGATGCTGATGATGCTGATGATGAGGATGCTGATGCTGATGCTGATGCTGATGATGATGATGATGATGATGATGATGATGATGATGATGATGATGATGATGATGATGATGTGAATGTTTTGGCCAGTCGGAGAGCGTCCAAAGAGAGACGGCCGATGTCTTTCCTCCCAGCCTACCTGACGGCGCGCAACAGTGGGTGGGCGAGGGGGCAGCCTTCTAAGGAGGCCGGGGACTGGGGACTAATTAGAAGCCCCCATGCTGTGAAGAAACCTTGGAGGAATCCGATCCCTTCTAAGAAGGCATTGCCCTTTCAGACGGCCGCCCCAACGGCGTCCTTGCCGTTCAAGATCGTATCCTCGAAACGTCCACGTAATCCAGATGGTGTGCTATCGCAGGGACGGGCTGCGTGCTCCTCGGCAGGGGCAACGTGCGAGTTTGTTGCGCACGCAGCTTTCGAAATGCGAGATCAGGGCCGTGAGGTGCAGTGGTGTTCCAAAGCGGCTCGGGGTGGAAAAAGCTGGCCCGGGGGAGCGCCCCGGGGCTCAGAGGCACGTTTCACTCGGGACCTTTCTCCCCGCCAGCGTTCACGAGAGAAGGCGACGCTGGCCGCACGCGCTTCGGCTGTCGTGGTGCTGGTGGCCGTGGCCCTGGAAGACCACCAGGCCCGGCGCGTTGTTTAGCAGCCGTGGCGTCGGCAGAACCCAGGCTGCAGTACTGGAAGCTGGTCCGTGGTCCTTTCCGACGCCACTGCCTCCGCGGTCCAACCCATCGTTGTCTCCCACATCCCCTCCCGCCTGTTCCCCCTCCCGATTGCGTACCTCAACGCCTCCAGATCGTCCTCGTCTTCCCTTTCCGATCTCCTTCCGTCTCCCGCCCCCTACCCGCATCCCCTGCCCTGCCTCTTCGTCCCCCTCCGTTCCCTGAACCCCTTGGCCCGTGCAAGCAGTAGAGAGACAGCATCGGAAGATACGAGGCGGCCTGCAGCCGCTTTGTTCAGGCCGCTGGCGCAAGAGGTCCCTCCGAGGGAGCCCACAGTTGCTCCGCAGACTCCGACCACCCCCCGAGGCCGAAGCTGCCATGGCGCCCACGGAGCAAGCCGCCGCCACCCGCCCGACCCGCGCGGCCTCGCCCCCTGCGCGGAAAGCGGCACTGCAGACGGACGAGAACAGGGCCCACAACGCGATGCAGACGGGTAGCCAGCAGCCGAAGACGGCCGCTGCCGGCGGGACGGGGGCGGCGCCGAGGCAGCCTGGCAAGGCAGTCGGATGGGCTCTGCTGGTCCTCAAGGTCGTCGCGGCCGTCGCGGTCCTGGGTATCGCGCTGCTGGCGGCCATGTCTTCTCCCCCCGTCTTGCTAGACGCCGACTCGTGCCGCACTGCTGTCGCGAGGGCCGTCGCGATGGCCCGGGAGAGCCCCAGGACAGCCTGCGCCGGGGCGCTGGTGCCAGTGGGTGCTGCCCTCGCCGTCTACTCCAAGCAGAAGGTATTTGCCGCGGCACGTGCCGCTGCGGGCAAGCTGAAGTCTGGCAAGAAGTGCGCGTGAGCCACAGCGTGAGACGGGGCGCGTCTTTTTCTCTCACGCACACACTCACGCGAGTGAGTCATGATTCCTGTTGGCCGTGACCTTGCGGCCCGCAGCACCTTGCACGAGTTCAGCTTTGAATGCGACCTGGAGTTTCTCTTCATTTGAATGCAGCTGGGAAGCGCTCGCTTCGCACGGCGAGAATTCGAAGCATCCGGGCCTTGTACCACTATCTGCATGGGCCTCCGAAATACCAGGGGCCCGCTCAACGGGCCCAGTCTGCGCAGGAGGTGCTGCGCGTGGGCGGCACGCGATCATCGACCGCAGAGCCGACGAGCGAGAGAACGGGGCTCCTCACCTGTGGGCTCGTCGTCTGCGTGTGCCAGCGTCGTGTTCGGGGGAGGTGGATGCCGGCGCGTCACAGCGCCTCTTTGGTCTCGAAGACGCCTGCGGCGAATCACCACCGCCCCCTGCCTCCTGGAAGCACCCATGTGGCCAGACCTTGCGGCAAGAGCTCGGCCAAGTTGTCGGACGGTGTTCTCCCCCAACTGTTGATACAAGAACCCTTTCGGGGAACACGTGGGGGAGAAACGAGAAGAGGAGGAGGAGGAGGAGGAACAGAAGGAGTAGGATGAGGAGGAGGTGGAGCAGGAGGAGGAGGAGGGAGGAGGAGGGAGGAGGAGGAGGAGGAGGAGGAGGAGGAGGAGGAGAGGAAGGGGGGGGGAGGGGGAGGTGGGAGGGCGGAGGGGGAGGAGGAGGAGGAGGAGGAGAGGAGGAGGAGGAGAAGGAGGAGGAGGCGGAGGAGGAGGAGGAGGAGGGGGAGGAGGGAGGAGGAGGAGGAGGAGGAGGATGGATCAGGAGCAGGGGAGGAGGAGGAGGAGGACGGAGGAGGAGAGGATGAGGAATAGGTGAGGAGGAGGTGAGGAGGAGGAGGAGGAGGAGGAGGGTGGAGGAGGGAGGAGGAGGAGGAGGAGGAGGAGGAGGAGGAGGAGGAGGAGGAGGAGGAGGAGGAGGAGGAGGAGGGAGGATCAGGAGGAGGAGGAGGAGGGAGGAGGAGGAGGAGGGAGTTAGGATGTGGAGGAGGTGGAGGATGAGGAGTAGGAGGAGGAGGCAGGAGGAGGGAGGAGGAGGAGGATGACGAATAGGAGGGAGGAGGAGGAGGAGGAGCAGGAGGAGCAGGAGGTAGCAGGAGGAGGAGGAGGAGGAGGAGGAGGAGAGGAGGAGGGGATGAGGACGGGGAGGAGGGGAGGGAGGGGGGAGGGGAGGGGGAGGGGGAGGGGGAGGGAGGAGGAGGAGCGGATGAGGAGGAGGAGGAGGAGCGCGGAGGAGGAGGAGGAGGAGGAGTAGGAGGAGGAGGAGGAGGAGGAGAGGAGGAGGAGGAGCGAGACTCAGGAACAGGAAGGAGGAGGAGGAGAAGGAGGACGAGGAGAAAGGAGAAGGAGAAGGAGGAGTGGGAGGAGGGAGAGGAGGAGGAGAGGAGGAGGGGAGAAGAAGGAGGAGGAGGAAGGGGGGAGGAGGAGAGGAGGAGGAGGAGGGAGGAGGGGGAGGGGAGGGGAGGGGGAGGGGGAGGAGGAGGAGGAGGAGGAAGGAGGAGGAGGAGGAGGAGGAGGAGGAGGAGGAGGAGGAGGAGGAGGAGGATTCCTCTTTGGACCCACTCTGGGCACTCTTGGGGCCTCCTGGGAGCTTTCTGGGAGCTTCTTAGAGGCATCTTGGGGGCTTCCATGGGCCTCTTGGGTGCCTTTGGACACTCCTTTGGAAGCCCTCTGGTCGTCGGAGGGCGTTCCTGGCACGCCTGACGCACTCGGACGCCGTCTTGGGGGTCTCTCTGGGCCGATTTGGGGCCTTCTTGGGGTGCTTCAGTCGGGTATAGCCAGGACCCCAGGTCAGGGGACCCCGTTAGTAGTAGGGCCCCGGAGCCCCTGAACTGGCCAGAATCACTAAACCAGGTTTTCCGTAGTTGGTGTTTTTTTCGGGTGACGGCAGTTCCGGTTAGTGGAACGGGGCGGGGGGGCGCCCCCTCCAGTACACATCATTAAACCAGGTCCCACTAAACCCAGTTCTGCCAACGCCCGATTCAAGGCCGTCGTGGAGGCCATCTTGGGCGTCTTGGAGGTCTCCTGGGCCATCTTGGGGCCCCCCTGACGCCTTCTTGGGGGCCCTTGGGCCATCATAGGGCCATCTTCGAGGCCTCTCGGGCGATTTGCAGGCGATCTTGGGGCCTCTTAGGCCGCATTCGGCCGTCGGAGGACCGAACACCACAGGACAATCACTTACTTGGGCTCGTCGGGCCTTTTTTTGCGGCCCTCGTAGAAGCCTCTGGCGCCAGCAGGCCTCTTGGGCGCCTCATGGGCCCTCTTGAGCCATCTTGTGGCCACCTTAGGCTGCCTTGGGTGCAGAATGGGACGTCGTGGAGACATCTTGGGGCCATCTTGGGCTCCCGTGGGGCCATCTTGGTCGTGTTGGAGGCCATCTTGGAGCCTGTCTTCGAGGAGACTTGGGCAAGGGGAGGCGTAGTTTTGGGGGCTTGGTGGTTCCTTCGGGTGGCTGGTGTGTCAGGCCGAGACCCCATCCAGCACGACGAGCACCCCTGTTGCAAGACCACAGGGGGCGGCGAATCGAAGACGCCTACGGCGAATCACCGCCGCCCCCTGCCCCTATGAAGCGCCTCTGTGACCGACAGCTGAGCCAGAGCTTGGCCAAGCTATCGGGCCAGTTGTTCCCCGAGTCGGTTTGGAAAGACTTCAGGGAACGCATGGGGAAGCAAGAAGAGGAGGAGGGCGAGGATGAGGAAAACAGGAGGAGGAGGAGGAGGAGGCCTCTTGGGCGCCTCTTGGGGCACTCTTGGGGCCTCCTGGGAGCTTCCTGGGGGCCTCTTGGAGGGTTTGGGGGGGCCTCTGGAGTCTTCTTGGGGGCCTCTTTGGCCGTCGGGCATCTCTGGGCCGACTTGGGGCCCTCTTGGGGCGCTTCGGGGCCGTCTTAGAGGCCATCTGGGGCGTCTTGGAGGCCTCTTGGCCCGTCTTGGGGCCCTCTTGGGGCCGTCTTGAGGGCATCTTGGGCCGTCATGGGGCCATCTTGGAGGCCTCTTGGGCGATCTTGGGGCGATCTTGGGGGCCTCTTGGGCAGTCTTGGGTCGTCGGAGCGCCGAAAATGTGCAAAAACCAAAGCCTTCAAACACCTTAGGAAAATCAATGATTTTCGCCTCTTCGGGCCTCTTGGGCCGTCTTGGATGCCTCTTGGGAGCCTCTTGGGCCCATCTAAGTCCGTCTTGGGGTGCATCTTGGGCCGTCTTGGAGGCATCTTGCGGCCATCTAAGCCGTCTTCGAGGCCATCTTGGCCGTCTTCGAGGCATCGTGGAGGCCATCTTGTGGCCGTCTTGGAGGCCATCTTGGGCGTCTTGGAGGCCTCTTGGCCCGTCTTGGGGCCCTCTTGGGGCCGTCTTGAGGGCATCTTGGGCCGTCACGGAGCCATCTTGGAGGCCTCTTGGGCGATCTTGGGGCGATCTTGGGAGTCTCTTGCGCCGTCTGGGGCCGTCGGAAAGCCGAAAAAGCGCAAATGCCAAAATCCTGCAGACACCTAAGGGAAATCAATGCTTGTGGCCTCTTCGGGCCTTCCTGGAGGACCTCATGGAGGCCTCTTGGGCCGCCTTGGAGGCCTCTTGGGGGCCTCGGGGGCCGTCTTGGGCCATCTTCAGGTTATCTTAGGCCGTCTTGGGTACATCTTGGGCCATCTTGGAGGCATCTTGGGGCCCTCTGAGCCGTCTTGGATGCCATCTTGGCCGTCTTGGAGGCGTCTTGGCCGTCTTGGAGGCCATCTTGTGACCGTCTGGGGCAGGAAAACCGTTTACAACCACCTCTTCCGGGTGGCCGGCGGGACGCGCCGGAGCCCCAGGGAGGGTTCTTTTGGACAAAGAACTAAAACCAAAAGCCATATAATCTGGCACGCCAGGCACCCCTTTGATAAATCAAAAGGGGGCGGCGGATCTAGTGGCAACCCGCCACCGTCCTGTGAGGATCTCTTGGCTCTCAGAAGCATCTTGGATTCGGTTGTCGGGTGCTTTGGGGGTTTGTCGGGGGTCCCGTGGGGCCCCCTCGAGGCCTGATTTTGGCCTCTTGGGGCTCTCCTGGATCTCGTGGGGGGCCTTCTGGTTTCCTGCTGGCGGTCTCGGAGGCCTACTTTGGGCGAAGGGCTCGGCATGTTGATCCATGCCCCCCCTTGGGCCACCTTGCAAGCATCTTGGGCCAGAGGTGACCCTCTGACACCTCACGGCAGGTTGGGACGGCCGTCCAGGCCCAGGGGAGGGGAGGGTTTCCTTCAGAAGAACGGGTCAGCCCTTGAAACCGCTTCTCGGCCATACCACTGGAGTGTCACGCCCCTAGCTTGGCCTCGGCAAGGCACGACAAGGCGAGGAGCATTGTAAGCTAGCCACCACGAGGGCACACGAAGGTCCAAGATACATGACCCTTGCCAGGAATACCATAGGCCTAAGACCGCCACAAAACGGCACGATGTTGCAAGGACGCTATTTAGAGGGTAGCACATCACTGAAACACCGAGTGCTTCTATTTTCCGAGAGCGATGCCATGTGCTTGTCGCCCTCCGTCTTTAGTAGATTGGCGCTGGAAGCGCAGCAGAGCCCCAAGGGAGCCCCCAAAACACTCGAACGGAGCGCTTGCGAAGCCCCAAGAACACTGCCGAAGACTTTGAGTCCCGAGAACCCCCCCCC